AAGTTGAATAAAAAAAAAAAAAAAAAAAAAAAAAAAAAAAAACATCTTAGTAAAACCAATACCTTCTCAGCTTCGCATCGAAGCTAAAATAAATAATTGAAGTTTGCTATATGAATTAAAAATTTGTATACATTTATTTAATATGTAAATTAATATAAATGTATAATATTGCACTACTATTTTTTATTTTAGTTCAAAAATTATTTTTACAAGTATAAATATATCTTATTAGACATTTTAGTATGTTTAGAATATATATCTTAAGCTTGATTTCAATTTTTTAACTTACTTTTGGATATGACTGAGGTTTTGAATATATAGTATCTTGGGATGTAAAACCAGAGTCATGAGATGAAGCATTACACAATCTACTAGGAGGTAGGGGTCCTTTGAAACGCAATTCATTTGATGCAGGCTACGTAATCATAATAGGCACACACAACAAAAACATGCAAAAAAAAAAAAAAAACTAAATGTAAAAATAACTAAAATAGAAACACAACTTATATAAACCATTTGTATATTTTCAGGGATGTTCAGGAGAGTAAATAAAAGTTTTCAACATAAATAATACATTTATATAAATATTACAATTAAACATAAATAATAATACAAAAATTAAACCAAATAAGTATTGTACAGTACTAGATAAATATAAATTATTAATATATTTTTAAAAAAATATTCTTTAAATACGTCTGCATTTAATATAATCTTCAAGGTTATTGATATTTTTTATGCAACTTTCAGATAATTCATGAAAATGGTATGACGAACAATTTATTTTAAGTTATCCTCATAAATGTGTTAAGAACGTACCGAAAATAATTTTTTTTTTTGCAATCAATCTTTCTAAGTTCATTTTAAAATATAAAATAATACACACCATAAGCATAAATATCACTAAAATATATTTTTCCAAAAAAATTACACTACTTTAGTCTAATTTGTTTAAATAAATCTACAAAATTAAAAACTACATACTTGAGAGTATTTATTAATTTTTTTAAGAGGTTAAGTTTTTCATATTGACGCATATAATAATCGTGTATAAATTCATGCAATAAAATATACTAATAATTATTAGTATATTTTGACTGCATGATAACTGATAATTATAATTTATTATTTTGTTTTTTTTTTTTTATTGGATATATAATATATAAAAAATGTTATTTTAAGTAAAATTAAAAATAAAACAAAATTTAAAGATGATATATTTGTCAGGCACTTCATACAGTCATACAGTAGCATTATTTTAATTTAAATTGTAATGAAATCGCTTTAAGGTTAATCAAATACTAAGCGAGATGATCAAAAAATATCAATTGAAATTCTAATACTACTAACAATAATACAATATAATTATGCGAGACAAATAATAAGAATGTATACATAAAAGACAAGAGCATGCTATTGTTTTCGTGAAGATCAATGTCCGTCTACAAATATATACCTGCAATAACGTGCGGTTCCAATACTGATGACTTGGCGAATGTGTACTGCCGCTGGACCAACTATTCGTTGAGTTTATAGAACACATACTTGATTTTCGTGAACCTAACGAGCTAGGACTACTAGGAGGCGTTTGGTGCGTCCATGACAAATCACTACCTTTGTAATCGACGAGAACCTGAAGTCATAATACGGATTTATTGCATTTGGTCTTTTAGGAAGTTAAAACAAATTAATTACAATAATGAAATATAATTTATCACACATTTTAAATAATAATAATAACTGTACATTGAAACAGATAATACGAATTTAATTTCGTAATTAAGAGGTCAATACTTTTCTAGTTCTTTTTAGTGATTTCGATTATGAGATACATTATACAAACGTAAAATTTGAAAGGTAGTATTACCATCAACAAATTACCATTTAATGTATAATTAATATAATTATTAAATATTAATATAATGAAAAATAATTGGATTTCACAGTAAATGGTTACATAGGATCCAACACATAACCCCAATAAACTGGATCTCTACGACATTCTTCAATATAAAAATAGAAAAAAATTATATATAATACGAAGATTTTTGAAATTAGGTGATTAGTAATAAGTCGTGTCGTGACTAAATGATTAGAAATTTAAGTTAATGTATAAAAGGTCACAAAACAACTATTCAGTATTTATAATAGTTTCAAGACTTTTTTCGGTGATAGCGTAAAGTCATCAAACATTTTAAACTGTCAATCATAAAACAAAACCCAGCACAGTAGGGACGTGGCATAGTATAATGATATTTGGCAGTGATTAAAATCATTATTATAAAAAAACCCAGCACAGTGGAGTCGCAGCAAAGTGGGGACGTTGCATAGTAGGGTCCAGTATAGATTTAATCTGACAGTGATTAAAATCACTATCATAAGAAACGCTTCGATGCAAATCAGTAGATAGTGTTTAATTCTAAGAAATTGGTAGATTATTCCAAAAGCAACATCAACTCTTATTTCTTTAATTATATCCTGATTAGTAGTTCTTTGATTTTAAAATATAATAAAAAAAATAAAAAAATCAGTCAAAAAAATCACTATCATAAGAAACGCTTCGATGCAAATCAGTAGATTAAGTTGAAAAAGTTAATTTTTTGTGAAAAAGGTGACATTTTGAATCCCCCCCTTTGGGCAGGTAAATAGGTAAATTTATAAAAAAATTATATCAAATTATAGGTAAAGACATCACGCATCCATAAAAAAAATTATATTGATTTGGTCATTTTATAATGAAAAAATTAGCGATTTTTTTAAATTTGTAATTTTTTTGGAGACGTCCTCCCCCATTTACGGAAAACGAGGGAATTTTTTCAATTTTTGAGGGCAATGACTTCGACTAAATACGATTTGTGATATTTGACGTATCGTTGAAAGAAAACGGTTCTCGGTGAGAGCTGAGAAAAAGTAGTGACAGACACAAAAAATAAAAAAACCCAGCACAGGGGAGTCGCAGCACAGTGATGACGTGCATAGTTGGATCAAGTATAATGATATCTGACAGTGATTAAAATCACTATCAAAAAAAAAAAACGCTTCGATGCAAATCTTTAGATAGTGTTTAATTTTAAAAAATTTGGTGTATTATTCCAAAATCTACATGATATGCTAGTTCCTTATTAATATCCTGATTAAGATATAGTATGTCAAATGAAAAAGAGATTATTAAAAAATATTATTTCTCATGAAAAAATTGTATTGATCCATATATTTTTTAAAAAGTTATAGCACTTTATAGTAAAAAATGTAAAATATAAAATCGAGAAATTTCACACAAAAATAGCATTCGATAGCCATTTTCACCACGAAGACAAGTCCAGAGGTCAAATTTTTTTTTTCATAATAAAGTATATTACATAAGCTTCATTTTAAAATATATATAAAAGTGTCAGACCTTCCGGAACATTTTCAAAAGTTAAGTTGAAGAAGTTTTCATTTTAAAACCCCCCCCTGTGGGCAGATAAAGGGTCACATATAAAAAAAAAATATACCAAATTAATATTATGCATCTATATAAAAAAGAATTATATTGATATGTTTATTTTTAAAAAAGTTACGGCAATTTTTAGTAAAAAAAATTGAAAAAATTTCGAAAAATAGCCATTTTGAAATTTGTAATTTTTTCAGAGGTTTCCCCCATTTACGGGGAACGAGGGAAATTTTTTTCAATTTTTAAGGGTAATGTCTTCGACTAAATATGATTTGTGATCTTTTGACGTATCGTTGAAAGAAATCCATTAGGTGAGAGCTGAGAAAAAGTGGTAACAGACACAAAAAAAAAAAAAAACACATCATAGTAAAACCAATACTTTCTCAGCTTCGCATCGAAGCTAAAAAATTCTTAATGTTTGATTCTCTAATCAAAATTGTTGTATGTAAAACATTTACATAAATATTAAATGCAAGGAACATTTGGCTTTGTACGAAGACAAATTAATTTTTAATAATAAAAAACAATTGTTTACAAAACATTAATTGAATAAAATTGTAATAAATATTTTTAATTTTTACCTGCTCGCTGGCTGGTGGTAATGAATAGGGATCTGATGCATGAGAATCTAATTTATCCATGACCTCCTGCAAATGTGATAGTTCTGTCAGCATTGACACTTCTTCTTCCTATAAGAAATAAGAACTTATAAGTGATATATGATTAAAAAAATAATTTCGGATTAAAATTACAGAAAAAGTATACTAACAATTACTGGTTTTAAAAATGTTACGAAAATACAATATCGACTACGTTCTTCAATTAAAGCTTCTCGGACAGCTCGTTTTTCTGTTTCTTCTAAAACAGCTTTTCTGTCGGAAACATCCTGTAAAGCTTTGTGTAATTCGTTCATTTTTGTACCTTTTCGCGCTTTTTTCTGTAGACGGAGTGTATCAGTAGAACGTTTTTTTAATTCGGCTCTGGCTTTTTTGTACTCTAAAAATCATCATAATTGAATAAAAAGCAATGAATTTCATAATTATAATAATAATGCAATCAAAAATAAAAAGTGACATATTAACCTTAATATTAATTATTTTTTATTTATCGTATTAAAATTAATATATACTTCTTTTAGTTCTGAAATAAAAACAATGACACTTAACTTCAGAATTGGAATAAAGGTTCTTAAATTTTGAAAAACATATAAATTAATTTTACATTTTTTTGAAGAATACAATAAAATTTTATTCTTATTAAAACAAATTTTTATTTATGTTCAAAAATAAACATAAATAGAAATGTTATGTTTTTAATAGTTAAGACAAATAATCGTGAAATTCTATTTGGTGAATAATTTCAGACCACTTGATTGTTGTAATTATTAATAAAAAAGTCTAAATAGTAATATGAGAAACACAATTATTTTAAATATTTAAATAGATTTGAAAATTGAATTAATTTATTTTTGGTAGTTATAATTTCAATTTACTTTATGTTATATATCAAATTATAATTATCAATAAATAATATTATATTTTAGTATAGTCGTTGAGAATTTTTCAGAGGATAAAAGCAACTAATCAACTAGTACACTTTTAAAACTATTCTGTGCAATAACAAAAAATATATAATATATTTACAACAAATCATGGTAGTCTTAATCGTAACATTTTAATTTTTAAGCTTTTAATTATACTTAATCATAGACGAAAACATTTATCTCATACCCTTATTAAAATTACGATAACGCTATTATAGCTATTATAACTATAATAGTTAAGTGAAGTTATTAACGGTCATTACTATAGATATTTGATTGCACAAATAGCATAGGTAAAACAAAAAATCTATTGTCAAGCACTCTTTAGTTAACCTATTAATAAACCATAATGACTAACAAAGTTTTAATAAGTGTTTTTTAATATATTCTAACTATCAACTGAAATGTAATCTGATGATGCTCCTTTGTCGAATATAATATACGATTGTATAAATATTTAAGTCACAAGTAATAACTTAAAAAATAGTATTAAAATAAAATACTGCAAAAAGTCATTACGATAATTTACGAGTGAAATATTAATATAAGTAATATATAGAAATATTATGTAATAATATAAGCTAAAAAAAACTTATAATGCATTTAAAAATTATATAGCTTTATTATAAACATAATATTTTTGAACGAACTAAGCATCTCATTATAAAATGACCACTAAAATAAATTGAGTTATTTGTTTTTTTTAATTACTAGATAATAGAAAAAAAATCGTAGCAATTAACAAAAATTAGAGTAAAACTTAATAATAAAATTATAGTATTTCATAGCTCCCAAGTTAATTCAAAATCTAGATTGTTTATTTTTTATTACATAAGAGCACAGTGTAAATATCACAGCACTCGGATTGTGAAAGAATTAATGAAGAATTCATAACGAATCGACTAAACGTTAAAAACATATTTTCATGCTTATTATAATACATTGTTAAGTTGTATGTTATAACCTTGGACTTTAAACTGACCAATAAAAATGTGAAAGTCAGCGATTTTATCTAGGGGTGTGTAGCGACTTGGGAGTGGGAAGAAAATCGACCGAAACAAGTACTGTGTTATTTTTTGTATAGCAATCTTTAAACAGTTTATATCAAATTTAATTCGTTAACATAACTACTTATTTTGCGAAAGAAATAAAGAACACACATAAATATAAAACGAAGTATTATGTAGAGTTAAAATGAACATTAAAATATTTTAAAATAAACTTTTGATAAAAGAAACTAATTAATAATATAATATATATATATATATTATATTAATAATATAATTAATAATAAGAATCGCGTAGATAAAATAATCAGAAAATACAAAAAAAATAATAATGCCAAGTGCACGATTTTCAGAGTACATTACTGCAAATAAAATTATTTATATTACACAAATTCAGCGATAAAATGTTGCACAAATGTTATCGCAATTTTGCTTTAATTTTTTTTAAATATTATTACACCCATTTATGATTATTTTTTAAATATTTAGAGAGTGAACTGCTAGAGAAAGATATTTATATAATTTAATTATATAATATCCTACAGGATGTACAGCTATAGTGATTGTGCATCTGTACAACGAAGAAAAAAATAAATTATTATCAAATATTTCCATAAAATTACTAGCTCATTAAATTGATCCACCTAACAATTCATTAAAAATGATATTTTTGAATGGGAGTAAGTATTTATGAGATTGTTTGAAATAACAATAAATAAAAAAAAAAATAAACTACGAATGATATCACATCAAGTTATTAAAATCTACATCAGAAATATTTAACATTTAAAGATTATATAAACAATAGCAGACTCAAGTATCTATTAGACTAATAACAATCTTTTAACAATTAAGAAAAACAACATACACAAAAAATTATAGCTTTTCTCTAATAATGCTTTAGCAAACAAAAATAAATAATATCCTCGCAAGAGCAAAACTGTGAAAAAACCCCAGGTTCCAAAATACCACTCTTCTCTCTCCCTGTCTCTGAAAAAGATAAGACTTCTAACAAAGTAGTGATATCTAAATTATGGCCCAGTCTGTTCTTCCTTTTTTAATTTAAAAGTCACTTCACGCGTATTTCTATGAGCAATACTGACTTTTTATTAGTATCGCTTAACACTTGGCTAATTGAAAAATATTGGCTCAATACTCATTTAGGTATTACGCGAGTGATAAGAATGAGAAAAAAGATTTTCTCTCGAGGTTTATTGGACATTGCGGCTAAGTTTATTTTAGCCCTCAACTAGCAAAAACTGGCCAAATATTGAGCGATACAAATACAAGGACAGTATTAATCATGGAAGTACGTGTGAAGTTAGTTTTTAAATTAAAGAATAACTTGGTCACAATATAGATATCACTAATTTGTTTGGTATATTTTTTCTTTTTTAGAGAGAAGGGTATCCTAAAACTTGGTCCTATTCAACAGCTATGTTTTTGTGGGTTTATAAAATTCTTTTTGAATATATAACATATAATAATGATAATGATGATGTTCTGGTTTATGGCAATATATAGTTGTACAAGCCAATAGTATTTAAAAATGTTCATTTAAACCTAACCTTTTAAATGAACATTACATAAATATTATTAACTCCTTTATTGAAAAAGGTAGACTCGTGAACATTTGGTGTACAAATAAAATTTTCAAATTTATAAAGTTAATGTATAAGTTAAATATACTACTGCAATCTGTTTTAAACATAACAATCGATAAACATAACGAGCTGTGTCTGAAATTTACAGAAACAGAAATCATGTGGGTTAGCTCTACGGAAAACGATGCAACCGCCATGAACGGTGCGCAACGACTGGTACGCCTACTCGTTACTTACCGACGCACAATGTCTAGCATGCTAGATTCTATGTCGCACACATGTTTTACACCAAGACTTCATTTATGTTTTTAAATGAATTTATAAAACATCACAACACTACCTAGTACTATAATGACGTCAGTTTCTTATTGCTAATGATAAGATAATAGTGACGACTGAAAATGCGTGACAAATTGGATCGAAGGTAAAAGAATAGAACGACTGTTTGATACATCTACCAATAATACGCACTTCCGGAGAAAGTAACTTTTCCATTTCCTTTGCAAGTTACTTTATTTACCGTCTAAACATAAAATTCTACAAAAGCACTGATTTTTCAAATCATGAGCAACAATGATAAAAAAACCAAAACATAGCTTGCGTTAACTGGTAATGTTCACGAGATTTACTTCAAACATGAGTATATTTAGTTATCAAATCACACTTATTTTGAGAATATTTTTACAACTGAAAAAATGTATCCGTTTTATATTATGTGTTTGGCTATCGCCCAGTAATATTATTACTGTCAAGCGACAAATATTCATTTAAGTTGTAAAATAATACGACGTTAGAGGGAATGAAACGGACGTTTAATAGTTATAGCTGATAGCGAAGGGGAACAAGTTCTTATACTAAACAAACTGTTCTGGAACGTACAAAAAATGTTACGTTATTTTTGTTAAACTTCACAAAAATGATATTAAGTAAAACACATGTATTAGAATTAAAAAAAAACAGAAACACAACAATGACTCAACAAGACATTTTTAGTAATAAGTTTTTAGTACTTGAATATTATTCAAAGAAAAAATAATATTCTACTAAAATTTCAAAACAATAATATAAAAATAATTAAATTTACAGAAAAACAACTGTGAATTATTATTAAAAAATAAAATGTATTTTTAAGTGATAATGTACTTATACTAGAATAACTACTAATAATTCAAAATACAGGTCTAAAAATTAATAAAAATAAAACAAAAAAATAGTATTCAAAAGAAAAAATGAGCGCATACATTTATCAATTTTCTTAATAGCCATCGTTCTTAAACGAGTTCATAACTAAGTTATTTTTTTTATTAAAAGAGTTAATTTCTTGGTCATTTTAAAGGTTATTAAAACTTAATTAAGTAAAATATAATTAAAAAAACATGAACTGAAAAACTATACATAAATAAGTATATGTTATTTGAAGTTTAAAACTTTAATTTAAAATAACAGAAGTTAAAAAAATTGTTTCTATTTGTATAGAGAAATAATAAAATATTCTGTTGATTTGCAATAACGTTATAAAAAACGTCATCGCCTACCTCTGTAAAACGAAAATTCACATGACACTGCAATATTTGCTGACACCCACATTAATGTATCTGTATTTATTATTAAGTGTTTCTTTATGACTGCTCATAAGCGACCAAAAATTTTGAAATAATAAACTACAATACTTTATAAAGTCAAAAACAGAAATTTGTAAGATGTGATAATAAAAGTATTATAAAATCATAAAAATAGTGTAATAAAAATGAAGGCAATTGTATAACATCTCAAGGTACTCATAGCTACAAGTACAATAGAATAGACTAGACCGATATTTTAAAGTATATCTCGTGAAATAATATACACGGTAGTTTGCGCAGAGGATCACGATAAAAAACTTTTACTCTCTAGAGAATGCGAGACGAACATAATATGTATTGTCGATTGACACTCGTATACACGATTGTCATTTAAGAGATAACTAGTTTTTTCGCTGTTTTCGTCAATACAATACAATAGGTGTTATGTTAAAACTGTTTTTAAGCTGTATAATTCATGCGACATAACACAGAACCCGGTACATAAAATAAAATTTGATACATGAATAATAACATAGTTATCATCATAATTTTAGTATATTAATATGAAATACAATAAACTAACTAAACGTCTCCTTGTCAGATCATCATTAATAAAATTAATTCTTAACAATACTTGAAGTAAAAATACTAAAAATATATTACAAATCGAATTAATCGTGGAAACCTTTCTTAAAATATGTCTATAAAAGAATATTTTAATGTGGTATGATATATTGTATACAAATAGCTATTTTCAATTGCTGTATATTGGCTTACAAAAATATACGCTGTAGCCAACCGTGATAAATAAAAAGTATTTTAAATTTACTCGTCACTACTTGACCTATTTCAGAGGGTTCGTTAACCCTATTAGTTAGTGAATAAGGGCTCAACAATTTTTTACGTATTTAAATTTGTTATCCAATAGAACTTAAGAAATTAATTGTAAAAAATATAGACTTATAATTGAAATTTTTAAACTTTACATACTTTCATGCAGCTAGCAACAGTCAGCAAAAATATTATAAAGTTTTATGTAATTTTGATTTTTTATGGGTTTTAGTTTTCGAGAATAAAATATTAATTTCTCTAAGAGCAAACGACTCTATTAAAAAATTCAATTAATCTGTTAAGTTAAAAATACAATAACAATATGTTTAGCATAACTAAAACAGGCGTCTTATTTTAATTTAATCTCACTAAATGAATTACATCAATAGCTTACATGAGGAGGATAGCATAACTCAAAAAATTAAGTATGTAACACTATTACTTTTAAGTGTATATACCTTTAGCGTGTTCTTTGTCCAAATTGACAACAGTCTTTTTCCAATCTTCTAGTTTCTCTTGGAGCGGAACTACCAAGCAATCTATTATTGCACTACAAATTTAACAAAAAACACATTAGTTTCGGTTACATTTAACAACATAATTTATTATTTCAGTTTATTATAGTTCTTTATCACTTTTATTATAAAAATATTTTTATAATTTTCTACACTAGGGTTATTTTATTAGATGAGTAACTTAAAAAATAAACTAATTTATAACAAATTAGTGCGTTTAATAGCTAATAAATGTTAAAGTATTACAGTGGAATTTTGATCACCTACCCTTTTAGCTTCCATGCGAAGCTGAGAAGGTATTAATTTTACCATTATGTGTTTTTTTATGTTAATGCCACTATATTTCCTATACGTAATCATAGACATACAAATGTTTAAATTTGATTTAAACAGATTATAATAATGACCATTTCGGATTACAGTATTTATTATAATAGTTCTTTAAACTACACTTTATTAAATATATAAAGGAATATATTCAGATGTTACACATCATTTCAAATAAACATCCATGATATAAAGGGATTTGAAATTTACTGGCTGGTTTTAGTGAATTAGCCTTAGTTTTTAACATTATTTATATTTATCGTAACAGTTTACAAATTTTAGTTAAAAGAAATGGTTTTCTTAATAAATTACCTTGAAAATGTTTTCATTTTGGCCTCGACTGCTCTATGGCGGAGACACATTCTGGTCAATGCAGTTCCAATTTCCTTAGTAGCGCCTTAAACAAAAGAATGTAGTTTAATCTAATCGTACGTTATATGTATCAGGATATTAAGTTTAAAACTAAGTAAAACCAATTTTAAATATTTCTTAATTAATTTAAAAGTCAAGTCTTCAATATAAATAGAAAATTCTTCTACAATGAAAAACAAATTGATGAAATAATAAAAATAGGAATTATTACTATTGATACTCAAGTCATTTATTTTGTTTTAAGGTAAAAAAAGAGTTTGGTTATCTCATAACACATTTTTACTTAATTAGCTGAAAAATCCTTACAAATCTATTTGTCAATGAAAAATTTTAACGTAAATAAAGGATTGGAATATAAAACACGACTTGAAATTTTAATACTATTTGCGATAATTAATAATAATATTTTATGGTTTATTTATAACTATTGGGTAAACGTTACCATTGTTAATGCAATAACTCAAGGTTTTTAAGAATTAAAGATGACATTAAGGAAAATCTTAAGCATATTGCAATATTTTTACAACTAATTCATTCCTCGTTTCTTTAACCTAATTATACAACAGACAATTCAACTTATTATTCTTTTTATCAAGGACTTAGTTCCATAGGAGTAAATATTTAAATAAAAAAATTTTTACCGTAGAAATCTAGGGTACAGAAATCATTATTACAAAATCATCATTTTTAAATGGTAAAAAATTGTATTATTAAAAAGCAAAACTAACTTAATTATACACATACATCTATTTGTTGAAACGTTAAAATATAGTAATCATTGTTTATATTAGTAAAGATAAAAGAATCAATTGCTGACATATAATCTCAAAAAAGATATTTGCACATGGTTAAGGAAGAAGACTATAGCGCCACTGTATAAAGTAAGTAACGTGCACTTGCATAATTATTTTGAGGGCTGTCATTGTGTGATTATACTATAAATAGAAGGGTGTTCCAGATCGTAAAATTTATCGGGAGGGTTGAATACCCTTGGAAAGATTTCTAACAACCCTCTAATCGAGGGTGGTTCGCCTAAACGTAGTTCTGAAATTTATCAAAGTTACATAAGAAAAATAAAAATTCAGTAATCAAAAAATACATATAATATGTATATGTATGTATATAATACTTCTAATCTTAAAAAAGTGACAAATTGTTAAAATAGAAAAAAATATTTGATATAAAACTGAGCAAGATAGACAATCATACATTGTTTATGATTTGATTTAATGGTCTGATTAGAATATGAATCGTGACTAAACTAATTATAAAATGGAACCTATAATATTATAGAATATATAAATCTATGATAAATGATTTGTGGAATAGATTTGCTAGTTGTGTAAAGAATACTGCAAAGGAGATTGTTGGTGAGAGTAGGAGTAGAATGTCAGAAAACAAGGAAACCTAGTGGTGGGATGAGAACGTTAAAAAAATCATAGAAAGTAAGAAAAAGCAATTCAAAGTATGGAAGAAGAGCAAAAGGAGAGACGATTGGATGAAGTATAAACGCTTGTGCAAAGAAGCCAAGTGTGCATTAAGTAAGGCGAAGTTTAAGAGGTATGATAAGTTGTATGATAGGCTAGGAACAAAGAAAGGAGAGAAAAAAATCTATAGACTTGCAAAGGTAAGAGAGAAAAGGTCTAAAGATTATCATTATATAAGATATATAAAAAATGTTGATAATAAGGTATTCTCGAGTGATGATGATGTGAAAAAAGGTGGAAAGAGTATTTTGAAAAATTACTGAAGGAAGAGTATCCAAGAGACACATTAAATGATGTTTCATGAAGTAAAGGACTGGTAGATTTAATTAGTGAAAAAGAGGTATGGAAGGCTGTGGCATCAATGAAAAAGAATAAAGCAAGATGACCAGATGAAGTGCCAATAGAAGTATGGAAAATATTAGGCGATGTTGGCATAATAGATAAGAGAAAAAGAAATAAGACATCGGTAACTAAAAACCAGTTTGGATTTATGTCTCGTAAGTTAACAATGGGGCCATTTTTTTGTGTGAGGCAACTAGTAGAAAAGTTTAGGGAAAAGAAGAAAAAGCTATTTATAGTATTTATAGATTTGTAAAAAGTGTGTGATAGAGCACCAAGAGAATTTTTAAAGTGGATATTAATGAGAAAAGGAGTTCCGAAAAGGTACATTATATAATAGAAGATATGTATGATGGCAATTGTACCAGGGTAAAAAACGTAGGAGGGGTATCAGAAGGTTTTCGGGTAAGAGTAGGAGTGCACCAAGGTTCTGATTTAAGCCCTTACTTATTCTCTATAGTGATGGATGAAATTACTAGAAAAATACAAGGAGAGATGCCGTGGTGCATGTTGTTTGCTGACGAAATAGTGTTAATAGAAGAAAATAGGGAAGAAATTAATTAAAGGCTAGAGGTGTAGAGATCAGCTCTTGAATAAGTAAGACAGATTACGAATTTGACAAAGGAGAACACGAGGTAGGTGTAATGAGGTCAGTTACAATAGGCGAGGACGTGATTGGAGAGGTGGAGAGTTTTAAGTATTTAGGGTCAGTTATGCAAAAGAGTGGTGGTATTGACGAAGATGTAAGACACAGAATTAAGTGCGGGTGGTTGAAGTGGAAAGAAGTATCTAGCGTCTTATGCGATAAATGAATTCCAATGAGGCTGAAAGATAAATTCTACAAGACTGTAGTGAGGCCAGCTATAATGTATGGTTCAGAGTGTTGGGCGGTTGATAAGAAAGTAGAGCAGAGAATGAGTGTAGCAGAGAATGAGTGTAGCAGATATGAGAATGCTTAGATAGATGAGTGGAGTAACTAGAAAAGATAGAATAAGGAACGAGCATATAAGAGGGAGTACAGGTGAAGCATAAATCGTGGATAAGATGAGAGAAAATAAACTTAGATGGTTTGGTCATGTTATGAGGAGAGAAGAATCGGAAGCTGTAAGAACAGTTATAGAAATGAATGTTGAAGAAAGAAGAGGCAGAGGAAGACCAAAAAAGAGACGGAGGGATGCTATTAAATGCAATATGAGGACAGCTGACGTGAGCGTAGATGATGTAGGAGATCGTGTCAAGTGGAAGTTTAGGATAAGGGTGGCTGACCCCAAGTAGTTGGGATTCAGGAGAGGAAAAAGAAGAAGATAAAGCTATGATACATTGCAATAAAAATATTTATAAAAATAAACATACATTTAAATAATTAAAAACTTATTTATTAGATATTTAAGTTTTATATTTTTTTTTATCACTTTTAACTTTTACTCAATAATTTATTTGTATATAACAAATAAAATATGTTTATTTTTAAAGCATTTCGAAATTATAGTTTTTAACATCATTCAAAGTACAAAAACTAATATAAAAGAGTAAGCGAAGACAATTCGAATTGTTAAGAAAATAACTACACTAGCATCTCATTCATTAATAAAACTTGCTAATAAGAAAATTAATTGTGAAGAAGACCTTTAAAACGTCTATATCGACACATAAATTACCAGGATAGTATTCATTTCTAAAAATTATTCAAAAATTATCTTTACTGCAAACAGAAACAGAATTAGTAATATATTACTCGGCTAATTAAATCTTAATGATATCTATTGTTATGATGTATAATTAATGAAAAGAACAAAATGGGAGTGTTTATGAATATTAATTTTTCATTAAGGTAATTAGTAAAATAAATACATTAAAATTGTTTCAAATGAAAAAAAACATATCACTCATATCGATTACGTATAATATATTTTTTACATTACTAACCATATTAAGCCAACCAGATGTTAGGATATTCGTTTAACTGATTTTAATCCATTATTTTTTTAATGAAAAATGCGAATTGGTATAACTCAATAGGAATTTATAAGTTATTAATTGAAATTTATAACAAACACAAATCAATAGGGTTGAGGGAAAGGTAATGTATTCAAAAACACCCATAAAATAATATATATTTATGTTTTTGACAAAAAACATTTTTTAGCTTTTTTATTAATTTTATTTTATTTTATTAATTAATAATAATAATATATATATATAAGGTAATGTATTCAAAAACACCCATAAAACAATATATATTTATGTTTTTAACAAAAAAACATTTTTTTTTCATAGTTTAAATACGAGGGATCAGTGATTATAATTAGTATAATAAATCTATTCTAAAAACTAAATTAAAACATCAATTTTCCACAAATTAAAGATTTTACAATTCATTATTCCGAGTATTTTTCTTATATAACTTACCTCTTGAATTAGTAGCAGCATCAGCAATTTTTTGAAAGGCATCTAGATAAGCACCGATTGCATGAATTGTTGCACTGAAAAAATAAAATATACTCATAAATAACTAAAATTTTGTTTTATTATTTTATTTTAAACTGTAAAAGAAAAAAATTATTATTACTATTCAGAGAAATAAAAATCATGTTACATAACATTTATTTTAATAAATATTATTTATTATTAGGTCATATAGACCCTATATGGCTTATATGGTCTATCAGCTACATTGTTAATAACACTGCATAATAAAACACCAAAAAATTTATAAGCCAAATAAAAAAATTGTAGATTCTGAATGGAATTTCGCTGATTTCGAATCTAGCCTTAGAATATGCAAATTGTTTCTAGTTTACGAGATAATTACTAATTAGTGAATATAAGATGTGGCACAATCGTATATAGTTTTTGACACCAAAAAATGGTTTAATTATATTTCATGTATCATCAAGTTATAATGGTATACAGCCCAATTAACATTTAAAATACATTAGTCTTTTCTCGTTCATTGAAAAGTAATTCGTATAAAATTGCAATACAAGTTTTAAAATTATGTTATAGTTAGTGGCGCATCCAAAAGAGGCTAAAAGGATGAGACCCCTTATTGACCAATTATAACTAACAGTATAATTTTAGAATTTATATAGCAATTTTATACGAATGAATAATTTTAAATCAAACGAACTTCAATGAACAAGAAAAAATTAGTATATTTTATATATTAATTGGGTTGTATAGCCCTATAACTTAAGAATTAATAATGAAATTTAATTAAACCAGTATCTCAGCATCATAAACTATATAAGATTGTGTCAAATATTTATTTTAAAATAAAATAAAAAGTTATACGTAAAAGTTCAGTTTTGATTTTTGTAAAATGACTGTCAAAATAAACTTGGAAGGCTATGTGTAGTGGCTTAAACTTGAGATGTATTTCTTAAAATTTGCAAATACATCTAAAACATAGAATATTTAAGTTGTTTTAAATGGATTTTTTTTTTTTAATTAGCAATGCATTACTTAATCTTTACTAATTATCCAGATTTGAAATCAACAACAAAATTCGATTGCTAATTTTTGGGTCAAAAATGTGTTATGCGGTATAATGATATTATATGTTGTCATCTTAAATTTTGAGTTAAAACATTTTACCAATTTTCTTATAATTGAGAAATAAAATATTAAAATATGTTTTATTTTCTTACCGAAGACAAGTGTGAAGTTTAGTAGCCTTCGCCATAAAATCTTCCCATATAGGTGTTCCATTCTAAAAAAAATATAATCAACATTTTTTTTAGTTAGAATTTTTTAAAACTATTGAGATAAAACTATATTTAATGAGAGTAAAATAAAAAAGATTCATTTCATAGTTTTAGTAATATTTTCTAATCAAGAGCGTATTTAGAAATTTATATTGAATTGGGCACAAAAAAATTGTATAAATATTATGTAGTTACAAAAATTGAATTTTTCTAATTGAATTTTATAAATAAAAATTTTTAATAGAATTCAACAATGCCTTCAAAATTCGAGTAAAAATCTACTTTTTCGGGCATTTTTTTTTTTCTAGGCCTGGGTCGATATGAAAACCGATATTAAATATAGACCGATATATGTGATATCGGATTTTTTTTAAATCCTATATCTAAATCAATATAACACCACATTATATCAAAATCATATAATCAAGGTGAATTTATTATCAAACTTACAACTAATTGAATATAATCATAAATTGCCTTTTCACTTATAATTTTAAATAGTATATACCGATTACTGGTTATTCTGGTCGAATGTTAAACAAAAAATGATTTAGTTTTTTATTTAAAGTCTTTGAATTTAATAATAAATAAAAAACATTTTTTATAACGAATTTTAACAGCATGTTTTTTTAAAATTTCATTTAATTCAACAACAATAAAATAAATTGTCACCTAATACAAATTAAATCATTTTTTTCTTAAATAAACAAGTCAAGGGCGTTCGCAAAAACTTTTCATGAAGGGACAAAAAATATAAAATATTTGGTTTCAATGTCCGCTCAACTGACCCAGCTTTGAAGGAGTGGATCATCAAGAGCTTCAGCCAGTGTAATGAACGCTTTTGAAATCATTAGCGTAACAAGAAAAAGCTTAGCTCCTACCTCAGTTAATGAAGTTTTCCCAAAAATTTAAAGAATATTGTATGTTGTCATATACAATATAGTGTTTTTTTGGGTAGGAAAAAAATACAATTAGCATCCTTAAAAATTTTATTCTAAGAGGCACTTATATGCCTATCAGAAAGAAATTATAAATAAAATATTGTTTTGTTATTTTACATACATGTCACTTATATACATAAACCTACGTGTAATTATTCTGTAAAAAACAATGATTTTAATCCTGACAATCATAATATAATTTAATAAATATAAAACTTTTAAATTTACATTTAAATTTAAAAAAATATAATACAAGTGATTCGTAATCCCGTATTTTTATCTAATTTTGTGTTAATTTTTTTTTTATTTCTTGTCCGATTTTATTTTGTGCTTGTTAAATTTGTTCTCTTTATCTATAACAATTAGTACTGAATCATGAAATTCTGAAAGAGTCAAACTGAGTATCAAAACATGTATTAATATAAACTAAATTAATGTGTGTAGTACTTTTGTTTACAAGTTCTTGTGCTTTTTTATTACATGCTTTTTTATCGGGTACCAAAAGAGAAAAATAATAAAATTTCTTAATTATTGAAATTATTTTTGAATTTCAAAGAATTATAAAAGAACAAAATTAAAACAAAAATAGAATTCGGGCGTCTAGCGTTAAAAAAATCATCTGTAGTTGAGCTAACCCAAATTACGGTTAACATAGTGACAACATAAATATATAGAAGAAGAACTATCTTATATATTTGAAACAAATCTAAACTAGATTTATTTAGTAATTCCAACTTATATTATAGTTCGACCATTTATAAAAGTTCGTTTTTTCAACTACAAAATTATGTTATTAAAATAACCACTACTATAAAATATTTTTTCAGTGTTTAACTAGGTGTAATATATAACATCTTAATAATTTGTTTTCATCAACATTATGATTAATATAGATATATTTTTACCTTAATTATTTTTTTACCTATTAACCGACAAATATAACCAATTTTGGTAAGTTTATATAAAATCTTGTTTAATAATATCAATGTTTTTAAAATTATTGATGGTAGTTTTATTAATCGAACTCAAATAAAACTTTTACAATGATAATTTATAAGGGAATTACTTAAAAATTATTTTTATTGATAAAACTAAGAAAACCTTGTGAAAAAATAGCTTTAAAAAAATTACAACTAACATTGAAAAGGAACTCCCTATTTTTCGAATTCATTTAGAATAATTTTTTAACTTTATTACATTATTATTATTGTTGTTTATTATACGCTGGGAAATTCTTTCTAAAAGCTTAGTTTATTTAAAAACCAAGTAATAATATTTTAACTATTAATTTGATTAACAAAACAAAATTTTATTTTACATAATTCAAGAGAAATTAGAAAAATAATTAGTTTAATTCATTATAAGATTCAGTAAATTTTAGATTCATTTTTTATGTTACACAGCATAGAGATTACTAGCAAAATAACTCGTTCACATCCAATAAGTAATGATAAAAAAATATAACTGAGCAAAGCAGTACATATCAAAACGTTCTACCTACAGGTTACAGTTGTTAGAAAAAACCGGTCTGAACTAACCATGTATGGTTGCTGTCCGTTCTTTGCAGTGGTCACGGCATAAACAGTTATAAAGGACTTCGCAAAATAACAAGTTCATAAAATAGAATCATTATTATATATAAATAATAATATATTATTAAATGAATCATTTATGAGAAAATATGTTAGTCTAATGAAGTCAAATAGAAATAACCACAAAAACGAAAGAGATGAACGGAGTGACGTAAATATTGATTGTTTTTTCATCAGTTTGTTTTAATTCAAATTTTAATACTAAATTTACTATTTTAGCCAAAATACGTATTTATTTTATATTATGTAGTAATTAATCTTTACATACTCTAAATTACTCTTAATGAGGCATCAGTTAGATAACAATGAATCGTGATAATTCACCAATAACTTGTTTATTTTTAAGTTGTGACACAAATTTAATATATATCATTTTTTTTTTTAATTGGTTGAAAATTATTTTTATAAAACAAAATCATTACATTACTATTCAAGAATATGAAATTAATGTTTTTGAACACTAAAAAAAATTGTTTTATTCATATTTTGAAAAATATTACACATAGTAAAATCTTTTAATAGACTTATTTTTCTGTCGTTCTTAGTTCATATTATTTTTGAATTAAGAGTGTTAAAAGAAGCAATAAATTATAATCTCACTCTTGATTAATAATTGTTTTATGTTAAAAATATGAATTATTCACTAAGACTTCATAGAGGGAGAGAAATTTACTAATTATTATTTAATACAAAAATGGTAGTTAAAATTAAAAAAATAAGAATATATGACCAACATATTTGTCAAGTTGTCAGCTATAATTTAGTTTGTGAAAGAAATTATTCAAAAATTTGAAAAGTCGATTATTAATACAGTATAAGAAATATCTGTTGATCCAAAAAATCATGTTTTTATGGGTAAAATAATTATGAAACATGTTATTGCGATATACATATTAATTCTTCTTAAAATTGGAAATCAAAAGACCCATAAGTTAATAAATTTTTTTTGTATTTTAAACATAAAAAAGGTACACTTTTTCTTCAAATTTTACGTCTAAATCTAAAAGTTACTTATCAAAATTTAAAATAAACTTACAAAAAATTTATTTTATAATTTGTTATAAGTATACAAAATGTTTTTAAGAAAAAACTTCGAACTTATAACTAAAAAGCGCTAAGATCAAATAGAAAATATTTATAATTAAAGATGCTTTAGTTTTTTATAAAAACTTGTAAGGGCCTACATAAATTACAGTCCAACACAGCTTCAAGCATACCTAAAAATTCTTGTTTTAACTCGTAAATTTATAGCAGCCCGTTTTAACACAATGAAAAATTTTCTAGACTATAATTCAATGTAGTCAAGAAAGATTTTTACAACACTAAGTCACGGGAGTAGATTTAGAAGGACGTTAGGAGTGTACGCCTTTTAAACTATGACCACTTTAAAGAATAAATAAATAAATGTCTTTAAATTATAATAATATCAATCAATTTTTTAACGACTATTAGTTTTATTATGGAAAATCAAATTATTTGTTTTACAATGTCTGTTTATCAGGTGTTTGTAAATTTATAGACAACAAAGCTAATTACAATTTTGTGTAAAACTTAAGCTACACAGTAAGGAGTTATTTCTATAAATCATAATTTTCAGTCATATTTATACATGTGATTTAAGTATATAAAGAATAGATATTTATTAATTTATACTAACAGTTCACTTTTTATTCATATATTTAATAATTAAAGTTGGTTGTAGTGATTAAAACAATATGTAACATAAATTACAATTAACAGACAAAAGTCTATATTATATACATATTAAATAAATGATATCAAATTTTAATGTGTCACATTAAGTTAAAATCATATATAATTATTTTATGCATTTACAGTTGATAATCTAATACCTAAAAACTTGTTTTTTTGCAAAAATTTTTTTTTAGTATTTTTCAGAAGTTTTGATTAAAATATTTCAGTTTTTAAGTTTAGTACCAGGAAATAATTAAAAGGAGCCTACATTTCTTTGCTCATCAGTTGAATTAAAACACCAATAGTTTTATAATACAAAAGTCAACCAGGATTATGAGGAAATTTCAGTGACTACCAGCTTGAATCTTACCTATAGAATTAGAGAAATAGCTTGTCCATTACCAGTGTAACAAGAGAGCAACCATCTCCAAGGACTTTACACATTTCTATGAGACCTTATAGAAAATTGATTTAAATAAAAGGTTATTCAGTAGTTTTTTGATTGATTTATATTTTGCATTTTTAATTTGCATAATGCTTTATTAATCATGGTGCCTGCTATATTGAGCTTACCTTGTTTATTAGATAAAGACTTACCTTTATGTAATCAAAAAGGGATTTTAACCATGGGCGGAGTAATATATAAACCTTTGTAGAATTAAATTGGAAAAACTAATGCTTAACAGTAATTAATATATTTCTAATAATTATGTTTTAACAAGATTGAGTACATTTTTTAAATTTATTTAATAGAATTATTTTATTTTATTTTTTATACTTAAAAAAATAACCTTTCAACATTTTTTCTTTTAAAATATAAATTTTTATAAAAAAGTACAAATTTAAACGTTTAGATAGACATATCATATGAACCAAATTTAAGATTTTCTATTAAAGAAAAACTATCTATTATTAGATTCTTATAATTAAATATTTTTTTTTTAGTTTTAATTGAAATGAAAAATTTATTTTGCACATGTTATAAATGAGAAACTGATATAATCTACTTATACTGTATATAAGAGATCGGTAATAGGCGGCCCAAATTCCAAGCCTGGCCCGGAGGATAAAAAATTGCACTACCCAAAATATTTAACACCAAAGATGTGTTTATATTTTATTTTCATTATTGTATCTGTTTATACAAAGAATCTTGTTTGATTTTTTTAAGTGTGTTTGATGTTTAAATTACTTATCAGATTTTATAGAGTACAAAATTCATAAAGGTGGCCCAGGATAAGCAGTGTTATTTTTTTTTAATAATGTAAATGTATTGTATAAATATATTGAGATTATATCTCATACAGTTACAAGGATTTCTCTTAAAATAATGATAATTAAAAAAAATATTTTTGATGTTTTTTAATTTTATACATTTTTTAATTTATTGATTATTAAAAATTGTTTAATTTTTATTTTTATAAGTTACAAGGGCTTTAACTTCATTTTTTTTTATGATAATATACATAATTAACTAGTTTATAAAACTAAAAAAGTGATCTAATTAAGAAAATGACTAGTTGCTAACAACTTTTGACCTATTACTTTGGTAGTTATTATAACTATTTTAACATATTATTTATTTTAAAGTTTAGGTGAATTAAAGATTATATTATTTTTGTCATTATATAATACTCTGTCACGCTCTTTTTCTCTTTTATATTTAAAAATGTTAATAACATCCAAAATACTAGGTCAAAAGTTATTATCAACCAGTCTTTGTTCTTAATCGTCTTATTAATTAGAAAATTTTTTATTTTAAAATCTAGTTAAACAAGAATTTTTCCATTTAAAAAATAAAGTTGAACTCTTATAACTTAAAAGGGAATATTTAAAAAAAAATTTAATAATAAAAACCAATACCTTCTCAGCTTTGTATTGAAGCTAAAAAATTGAGAAATATATCAAATTTCAAATACAAATAAGAATTTTCATAAAATAACAATTATTTTATAAGAAAAAGAAAAAGATTAGCTAATTCTAAAAATTACACTAAATTGATATTAATTTTCAATTTCAATTTCAATAAATTTATTGACCATATTTGGTTTTGTTTTCTGGTCCTCAAAAATATTTTTTTTTAACTGTCTGTGGGCAGTCACACAAACCAATTGTCACTCAGCTCTAGATGTTTGTAATGTGCATCCTAAAATTTCCTTTATACAGTAGAAATTATTGATAAATAAAGTTTAACGAAAATCTTTATTAATGATACATTGTATGATAAAAAAACTAATGAATACTTAAAGTTTTATATATTTATTTTGTTAAAACCATCAGTTTTAAACATTTTGTGATCAATAGTATTATACTAAAAAAGAAAAGATCAGCAAAAAGGCAAAACTACCAATGCATATCTAGGGCCTATACTTAAAAAAGTCTTATAAGTATAGATTTAAAGTAAAATAAGTTCTATTTTACTAAAAAAAAATTGAAAAGGGTCCTATGAAAACATTTTTATATAGTCCTGCAATATCTAGTATTGTATGGTAGTTTATGGCACATTACTTTCTTATATTTCTAAATTTTAATACCATTAATGATTTTATGACATACTAGTATTTTAATTTTATTATGTCTATAGCTTTTATTAAACATCCACAACCTATAGATAAAATTATGGATATTATTATTAATTTAATCAGGCGTGCATTACTATTTTTTAAGGATTGAGTTATCAAAAAATTTATTTATAAAATAACTAGTTAAACAATAAATCAAGTAGTAAATTGATTTCTCCTTTAGCTGACCAACAACATATAGAATACTTATACATTTTTTAACTTATATACTAACTATATTTTTAAAATTTCAACATTTTAGATGGAATAAATAAAATTATTTATTATTCAATTTATAGTATAACGGTGATTAATACCTTCAAGTCCAGAATGATTTGCTGAAACAAACCACCAAGAGCATTGCAATCTTTTCCGACCCCGTTACCTTCCATGACACAAAAGCACTATACTCACAAGTAAATTTATTAATATATCTTGTCACTATAACAAAAATAATTCATAGTCTTGCAACGTTTTTATACATTCACATTAAAAATATGTTCATAAAAAAAAAAAAAAATAGCATTCCCGAGTACAATAAAAAATATGAACACAAAACAACATAAGCAATATTAACTAATAAAACCGACGTGTACTACTCGCTGAACTACAGATGGCCACTGAGAATAGATTAACTGTACTCTATAGTGGTTAGTAAACAATTTAACACAACGTGAGCGGTATAAAACAACTTTGTATAATACGCTATCTATTGAGATAAATTAGAAGTGTTTTTTCAAAGATAGTTATTTTTATACAATATTAAAACTTATTTAAATTAAAAATATAAATTTTTATATTATTTAAAATGTTTTTTGTATAATGTTTAATAAATAAAAAAAGTATATATATATATATATCTATATATATATTTATAATTTTATCTGAGATAATTTACATGAGATTGTAGTAACATGATAAGATAAGATTCCATGTATTATGATTCAAATTTTTTTTTTGGTATAAGTGTTACTAAAATGACATTTATTTAAAAAAAATATTTTTACTTATAAAATTTTTAATTAAATATCTTAGAACATCTTTTATATTTAATTAGTTATGTTGAAAAATCTTACTAATAAATGAATTTAAGGTCATAGTTATTTTCCAAGAATGTTAAATTCCATAGACCGTGACCGTTGGTGCAATTATAGACTCGAGAGAAAGTGATCAGAGTACAAGGTAGACCCAGTTGAAGTATAACTGAATAAGATGTCTTTTTTACGAGGTTCTACAAATTATGTGTGGTGTACAACAAGTGTACTTGGTAAAGGTGCTACAGGTGCTGTTTACCAAGGTGTTAATAAGCATAATGGAGAACCTGTTGCTGTTAAAACTTTTAATCAACTTAGCCACATGCGGCCTCTTGATGTACAAATGCGAGAATTTGAAGTTCTTGAAAAAGTCAAACATGAAAATATTGTTAAATTATTAGCTATTGAGGAAGAACATGAAAGTCGTGGAAAGGTATGCTTGGAACAAAATAGTATACATTTTTACTTTCCATATGTTATTAATTTCTATTATAGGTTATTGTTATGGAACTTTGTACTGGGGGAAGTTTATTTACAATACTTGATGATCCTGAAAATACATATGGCTTACAAGAAGATGAATTTTTATTAGTTTTAGAACACTTAACTGCTGGAATGAAACATTTACGAGATAATAATTTGGTTCATAGAGATCTTAAGCCTGGAAATATTATGAAATTTATCAATGATGATGGTCGACCAATTTATAAGTTGACAGATTTTGGAGCTGCTAGAGAACTACATGAAGATCAAGAATTCATGTCACTTTATGGAACTGAAGAGTACCTTCATCCACATATGTACTGATAATATATTATATTATTATTGTTGATAAAATTAAATAATATTCTTCGTTTTTTAGGTATGAACGAGCAGTTTTAAGAAAGCCTGTAGCAAAAACATTTGGCGCCACAGTTGATCTATGGTCGATTGGTGTTACATTATATCATGTGGCAACTGGAAATTTACCATTTAGGCCATATGGTGGACGTCGAAACAAAGAAACAATGCATTACATAACTACTGAAAAAGCATCTGGAGTTATTTCTGGAGTTCAAACATCTGAAAAAGGTTCTATTACGTGGAGTAGAGAATTACCCAAAAACTGTCAGTTAAGTAATGGTTGTAAAAAGTTGATAACTCCAATACTTGCTGGTCTTTTAGAATTAGAACCTCAAAGAATTTGGAGCTTTGAAAAATTTTTTACTGAAGTTACAAAAACATTAGATAGAAAACTTTTACATATTTTTCATACTAATCGTATTCAAAATATTAGAGTATATTTACATCCTGATGAAACATATGAAAGACTTCAATATCTTATTCAAGAACAAACAGAGATATCTCCTAGTAATCAAATACTTTTGTATAAATCTACATACTTACTATCTGAAGTTGGTTATGATCTCCCTGGAAGATCATATAAACCAACTGAAACTCATAAGCCTATACTTTTATTTAGCAAAGAGAATAACAATATTACATTAACATTAGATGGTGATCTACCTAATTTCCCAAAGTTTCCAGATATGTCTTTACCAAAACTTACATCTGTAGATAGTGATGCAGGGTTAGCTAAAACTGCTTGTAGTGTTGGACATGTCTGTAAAAAACGTATTGAAAAATTATCTCAAAATAGCCAATTAATTAGTAAATCTGTCCAAGTTTTCACAAAAGTTGTAACAGATAAATTAAGAAATGTTTTAGCTAAAAGTGAAAACTTGCAAAATATGTTAAAATGTTCTAAATACATAGTAGAAGTTTCTTTAAGAAGTCACAAAAGTATGAATAATATGATTGGTATTAAAAATACTTTCATTAACATTAAAGAAGAATTAGAAGCATATAGTGATGAATTAAATAACAGTCTAAGCTTAGCTATACAACAGTTATATCAGCGTTATGTTAAAGAAAAAACATTGACTAGAGAATGGCATGCAGCAACAAGAGCTCTTAAGTGTCCAAATAAATACAGAGCACCTGCTAGAATAAAAACACTCGTAGAAAGATTAAGAGATTCATGGCAGCATTTGCTTAGAGATCGTGCTACTAGAAGTTTAACTTATAATGATGAACAATTTCATGTATTGGAAATAATTAAGGTGTGTGATATATATTGACATATTTTATTATCTTTACGGAAGAAATTAATAAGGATTTAAAATATACATATATGGTCACATGATTAAAACTTACCAGGGTAGTTTATTTAATTGCTTAATTTAAATTTTAAATCATATATACATGTTATTATGAAAAAATATACTATCATATAGAAGTTTAAAGATTGACTTTGATGATGTAAAAAAGTTTACTATGTAGGGATAAGTGAAATGTTTTGGAATATCTAAAAATGAAGTTTAAAACTCAAATCATATAAGCTGAATACCGAACTATCATATATTTATATAAGAACTTTATAACAATAACAACTTATTTATCTTAATACATTAATTGTTAGTAGTAATTATAATAATCACAATTAATGTCATAAATTGTTTATTATTAAACAAAAAAGTAAATATGGGCTAGTTATGTATTTTTATATGTAAATTTTGTCTGCTATTATGACCAAATACACCACATGTTATCAGTAGGGCGAGGTATTATATATATATATTTTAAAAAAAATGTTGAGGAATTTGAAGAGTCCAAAGTTTATGAAACTTTGTCATATGATTATATAGTGACGTAGAAATATTTTTCATTTCAGGAGAGTTGTCACCCTATTAAAAATGAAAATAAAACTTTGGCAACAACAAAATATTAAATTATCAAATAAATAAATAAAAATTTGTACTAGTAGATGGTATTAAGAATAACTTAACAAGAATTTTTTTTATATTAATTACACATTATACCTTAAATAATCTAATAACTATATGTTTATTAAAATTTATATTTAATTATAATATATGCAATACTATATTTATTTTGCGATTTGAAGTATTTTAGTTATTTTTCAATTTTTTCCAGTACCAAAATGATTATATTAAAAGATGATTACTGTATTTTTATTTTCACTTTTGATGTATTACGAGAATATATATATTATAACATAAGAAGTCTTAGAATTGGTTAATAAAAAAAAATTATTTGTAGTAAAATTAATTGAAATACATTTAAAAATAATTAAATTCAAATTCATGTTTTACAGGTAACTGAAACAAGTCGGCGTGCTCGAACATTATTAGAAAATGAAGTTCAATCTATTGTTACACAATTAGCTGATTGTATGGCTGACTGGTATAAAATGGCTCAAACTGTATTTTTACAAGCACAGATACTTGACAAAGATTTTGATACTTTTGAGCATAAACTTTACAATTTTATTGAACATGCAAATGAAGTAGATGAAACTTTTCACAATGGATTAATAAATGTAGCTAAAGTTAAATTTACTTCAAGCGGTACTAAACATGCAGGGCGTATTAGTGTGCAAGATATCCAAGCCCTTAGAGCAAGTTTGAAAGGTTTACGTGATTTTGATGATCTTGTATCAGATATAAAAAGTAATAATGAAATGCTCAAACATATAGGAGACACTAATAAGTTACGTGATTGTTAGAGTTATAAAATTTTTAATATTTATTTATTTTACTTTTGTAAATATTTTAGTTTAACTGAACAAAGTCTTCTTAATAAAATACAAATAAAATTTAAAAAATTTATTTAGATGTTATATTATCATGTAATATATTTTATTATAACATTAATTAAGTTTTTACACAATGTTCTTTTTTCAACATACATAAAATCTGCATAATCTAAATACCCCGTCTTACTGGCTTTGGGTGTACTTTAAGTTTGACTGGCTTACATAGATCAACTATACATGGTTGAGTAGGAGGTAAAACATGAGCTAATGCACCTTCAGTTTCCGTCAAATCAAAAGCAAGGCTTAATTCAACAAAACATGCTTCTGACCATTCTGAACGGTGAGATATAAGAGCATTGGTATCAAGTAAGTAATATGATTCTGCAAACAAATTAAATTACGAAACAATATGGTAATTTATTGCTTATAATTCCTATAACATTCATGTTGTACAGAATATAATCCCCCTTGAAAAAACGGATTTGTTTTTAACATTCAAAAAAACTTATAATTATTTCATTTGTATATTTTACACAACTTTTAAGGAATAAGTATAAGAATCATTGAGTATAAGAATCAAATGTTTATTCATAAGGAAAGAAATATTGGAATAAGCAAATGTTCTCTTAATATTATCAACATTTTAAAATTAATAACTCACCATTACTAAGGTTTACTAAGCGTAGATGATTTTTACGAGGCATAATTAAGTGAGTTTGTTGGTCAGGATATTTAATTTTTAAGCGTAATAAAGATGAAGAATCATTTTGTAAACTATACAATTCTGCATTTAAAGAAATTGGTAAAATAAGTCCAGCAGATAATTTATGAGTTGTATCTGGGCCACCTAACGGCCTAATAATAATAACTTTACACATTTTAATCTGAAATTATAATAGACATTAATAAATGTTAAATATTAATATATTTATAATAAAATTAAGTGTTTTTCTTGCTTTTGTGTTTGGCTTAGGTGGTGGCGTGAGTTCAGAATTTTGTAAAATTGGTAATAATAGTTTAGCCACAATGCCTGGTTTAGATTCTTCTAACTGTGATAGTTCCTTAAATACAATTGATGTGAATGATTCAAGAGGCAAATTATTTTCTGATATATACCTACACATTAATTTAATAAGATAAACAATAATAAGGATAGTGAATATAACAAATTATTAATTGATTGTTATATAGAATAATAATCTGTAATACATTTTTATTTCCAGAATAGCTTTGGAAAATGTTGATAATTTAAAATTTAATTTATTTAAAAATTTAAATCAATACTTGAGGTTTTTAATTTTAAATAAGACTTCAATTAAAATTTAGAAGAATTATTAAATTAGGAAGCTTTCATAAAGATACTAATAAATTTAATTTTAGCTAAGATGACAGAATCAAAGAAATTTTAACATACTGCAAGTTTATTAAAAAATAAATCTGCAAAAACAAATATTTTATTACTTATTTGTATCTTCAAGTTGTGTTAAAAAATAATGACACAATGCTCTAGCCGATTGATTTGTAGCTTTCACTATATAAACAAGTAACAATGCTATTACTTTCAGTTTGAACTGCTTTATACTAGCTAACTCTTGCATACTCAAACCGACAAATAAATACTGCATTCTAAAATAAATAAATTAGATATAAGTTATTAACAATAATTAAGTCATTATAAATTAGTTATCTTACTTTAAAGTATTTTGTAATAACTGTGATATATTAGTGCGTACATTGTTTGCTTGATGAGTAGATACAGCATTTGAATAAAATGTTTTATTATTATTATTTAAAACAGTATTTAACAATAACTGACTATGTATATATAAAGCACTTAGTTCTGCTGTTCCATTTACAGACTGATCCAATTGAGCTAATCTTATAAGATTGTGATAATATGTTTCCAGCATTGTAATTTTTACTTTAGTGCTACCACTTACAGTAGATACTTGTTTCAAAAGTGACTCAATAAGTTCAAGGGATTTAGATGAGTCCACTTCGGTAGTCCTAATATCAACTTGTCCAATTGATGAACGTCCTCCTAACTGAAAATATTTAAAATAATTTGATTAAAAATCAATTTTACCTTGGGAAATTATTTATTTTGCTCATAAGTATTAGATTCAAAACCAAACATAATAAAAATTGTCATTAATTCTAACTCACTTGTAATGAAGGAACCAAATGTGGCATTATATCTCTTAAATAACTGTAATGTTTTATAGTTTTATCCTCAAGTAAAGAAACTATTGCATTACACTTAGATGCAGCATTAAAAACCATAATTAATATACTCACATCTAAAAATAATATTATTAATTAAAACTTTAACATTTAAACAAGTTTAATTTAAAAATTATTCATAATTATTTTAATACATGATGGTTCTTCTACATTTGGTTCTGGTGTTTCAAACATGGGATGAATTGCTAATAATTCTGGTACTAATGCTAAAGTTAATATTGAATGTCTTAATCCTAAATTTTGCATACAATTCCATATAGACTTTTTATCCTAAAAGATGATAAATATATAATATAAAATATTTCACATTTAATAGGTATAATTAAAATAAGACTTAATTTAATATTATAAATTACTAAAAAACGAAAATACATTTAATTTTAGCTTATTATGTCAACCCTTATGCGTTTAAAAAGATATAAGCAACATTTTGATTTTTTTTTTTTTAATTGTTAATTTAATTACTATTTATAAAAAAATAGATAATTTGTCACTTTTTTGATTGAACATAGGTTATTTACATATTTTTTTAAACAAATATTAACATTCATTATTAAGTTATAACATAAACAAATTATATCACTTCCATCAAATATTATAGTTAAAATAAAACACACTAAGGTTAATTTTATATCAAAGATTATTTATTGAACAGATTGATTTATCAGGAATTTAGGAATAAATTGACACAAAAATTTCTCAAAAATTGTCCCTTATGCTCCTTTTACTTGCTATGACTTAATATTAACAAATATTTGAAACTTTACCTCAGGATATTTTTTTAAACTATCAATCAATTTGTTTACACACATTAAAAGACCTTCTTGATTTAATAATTCAAATGATGCAAATATATTGTGTAATCCCTCGCGTACAACACTTGATGAATCCTTAAATATTTATCAATAAATAATAAAATAATTGGTTTTAACTGGAGTAACAAATTAGTACATAACATTACTTATTACTAACCTCAATAACAGCCAATATAATTTCTACTTGGTCATCACGTAAACCAGAAGCATATGATAATTTCACAAGACTTTCAATAGCAATTAGTCGCACTTCTTCAATTTCATCATTAAACATATCTACTAAAAATTCCATTGCTACTACAGCAAATTCAGAATGATGGGTAGCTAATGAACACATAGAACTAATTGTAGCTATACGAACCTCTGAAAAATAATTCCATAAATGATTGGACAAATTTCTTATTATAACTAATTTCTGTGGGATAACCAACTATACTCTTAAAAGGACAAATGTGTAGTTTATTTTTAAAATTCATAAAATGCAATTAAAAGATTGCAAAAATATTCATAGCTGGTTTTGATGCTTCATAACTTTCTATCTTTCACTTCAATTAAGTTTAATAAAATTAAAATCTAACTTAAAATAGTTAAAATAATAAAAATAAGGAAATGATAACTAAATTTAGTTTAAATATATTAACTGGGCAGTTATAAATTGTATAAACTCTATCCAACTAGACAGCTACTTATTTGTGTCCTCTAAGCTTATGAAATTAATTAAAAATAAAATTAACCTAAAGTAAATTTTATTGATCCCTCATATAATTTAGTTCCATAATTCTTCATAAATGCATTGCACAATGATTTAAAAGAATAATAAACATTACCTTTTTCATGACACTACAAGGTGATTGGTAAACTATGCAATATCTTAAAAATTAAAAAAAACTAATAATTTTTCTTTTTAAAAGTTTCTAGATTACATTATGCATTAAAATATTCTATCTCTGCCTTTTCATCCTTTAAATTTATATCAATTTAATTTTTTTTTATTTAAAATATACAAATTTAACTATTTTTAATACTTAAATTTGTTATAGTTAAGAAAATTACTAGTCAAATACTTTTAAACAATTATTTTAGAAAATTTTATTTTTTATAACTAGGTGAGAAGAATATCACGGAGCATAATGCCTAATAATAAAAAAATCAGACTCATCTCTAGTCTGAATAATGAAATTTTAATATCTCTAAAAATACTAGCTCAAAAGTTGTTATTGACCAGTATTTTCGTAATTAGATTATTATCTAAATATAAAAGTTGCTATTAAAAAATATAATTAGATATCTCTGTTTTAAAAGTAATTGAAGAGGGTAGAACTAATTTTTTTTTTTTAATATTATTATGTTAGGTCTTATAATATTTTCAAAAGAAAAATATGTATGTATGAAGATATTGTGGAAGACATAGATAATAAATAAATAAATGATGATAAATAAATCACCCCGTATAGCTAAATTAACAAATATAATAAATGTTAATAATTTTATAATTAAAAACTATTTCAATGTTTTAATAATTTTATATATTCAAGTATCTAATTAGAATTTTTTTTTCTTTCTTTAGTGGATAAAAATTTGATAAACCATTGTATAAAAATGAAAAAATTGTTTCATGTTTTATGCCTATTATCCTTTTTTTAACCAAAGGTATTTACCTACAAGAGTGAGAAAAAAAAATTGTTAATTTTACCACTGTTTATATTTAAAACTATATTTTTTATTTTTTGTATAAATAAATTATATTTGACTTTATTACTAAAACATGTAAGTTACTCCAAATAGAAGAATGTGTAAAAAATATTCTCAGAGGATAATGGAGTAAAGTTAATTATGTAGCAAGCCAGTGTTACTAAAAATTAACTAAAAATCCTTATAAAATTTTAAAATTATCTAAAATGTCTGAAAATTTTTTTTTTACTCTCTATGCATTTAAAGAATAAATAATATCTATTATTCATTATTTCAGCCTTCTGATATAATGATACTAATCATTAGAGTGAGAAAAGAAATTTTATGAATGATTGTTATAATGCAATAAGCTTTAATAGAATTATTTTTTTGTTACCAATACTATTAGTGCTTACTCTTGATAATGACCAGAAATAATATTTTACTTAATTTAATTGATATTTTCAATGATAAAAAAAAAAAAAAAAAACACATCATAGTAAAATTAATACCTTCTCAGCTTTACATTGAAGCTAAAAAATAATGTTATCATTCGTTATTTTAAGACAACATAAATATAATATATTACATTTTTATTCTTGAAAGTTATCAAAGTTTATATGATTTTTTTAATTTTATAGGCAATATTTGAAGTTACAGTGAAGTAATAATTTTCATTAAACATTCAAAAAAAGTTAGATTATTTAAGAGTCCAAAAATGATCTAACATTTGGACTTTTATCTAAAATTTGGTAACACTGCAGCAGACATCAACTTAGTGAGAAATTTTATTATGTATCAACATTAAAATCAGACTATACTTATTGCACATTCTATTAGACCAGTCCTCCAAAGAATTATAAAAATTAATACATTTTTTATACCTAAGTATTCATCTTCAAGACCATGAAGAAATGCGCCACTAGCACCAGTACTGACTAAGCTCACTTGTTGAGCATCTAGCATTTCTTGGGGTGTATCTTTAGTACTTAATGCACTTATCATAGCAGTTCCTTTTGCTAAACACTCCCAAACACGCTCAATTGATGTTCTTTTTCTCTATAATTAATTGTTAAAATTCTATTAGTTTTTAATCATTTTATTGAGAATTTATATATTTTTTTCCATCATAAAAAGTAATTTATTCATTACATCATACGTAATACCTTTAAAAGTATAAAATATGTTATAATTTTTTCTTTTTATATGGTAATTGTATCCTATGTTCTGTAATTTAAAAAATTTGGTCCTATCCCTCCCCTCTCCTTTTTAAAAAATATTTATTTTATTTTTTCAAATTGCAACATAAATATTTAACTAAATTAAAAGTAAGAAAATGACTAGTCTATAACAACTTTTGAACAAGTATTTTAAAAGACATAAGCATTTTTTTACTAGGGCGGTATGAATAAAGCGGATCTGTTGATTTTTATATACAGTCATTTAGAACAGCTCTACTTTTTCCATCCTAGCATAAAAGTGCCATCATTTAAAATAACTCATTCAAACATTTTAATCAGCCAATCAAATCCTTATTGCAACATATATGTTCTCATTTAAGAAACTTAAGTTAAAATTATTTTAAAGGGAAGTCAGGGAGAATAGGACCAATTTTTTTTTAATTATAGAAGAGGATAACAATAACTTTTGAAAAGAAAAAATATAATATGTTTTATACTTTTAAAGATATTGTATGAATCATAATGAATCAATTAACATGTATAGTAGAGGACTCCTTTAATTATGTTTAGATAAATATCTAAGTTTTACTACAGGTCAAATTTTATCACCAAACACATTTTGTTATAATTATCTAAAAAAACTTACACGTAAATTAGACATTAAGGTTTGATCTAAAGTTTTAAGTAAAATTGATGAGCTAACTGATAGAAACTTTCCAAGTAACCTTGCAGCTTGAGTACGGATTCTATAACTAATATCTGTCATGAAATTACATATGTTTTCAAAGGCTTCATCACACATACGTGCCATTTCTTCACCATTAATACCTTTTATTCTCCTAATACAATTTTGTATGTTTTAATGTTTATAAATTACATAAAACAAGTAAAATTGACAGAAATTGTATAAAAAAATATAGTTATTGAATACGCTATATACCAAAAATAACGTTAATTAATCATAAAACATCTTAAAAGTTCAAAATACCAAAAGATATTATTTCAAGCTATTTAAAGCCTGAGCAGAATTAATATGTTATGTATGAATTTTCCAAAAATTTTTTTTCTTGTAAAATATTGTCATATTGAAAATTTTGATACATTTTTGTAAACAAAAAAATTTCAAAATGATCCAGTCTCTTTTATATTAATATGTTATCACAGAACCCAATGATCGTTCAATACATTAAATTGAGTTTAAAGTTATAAAACTAGGGTCCCTAAAAGTTTAAAAATCCCTGAATTATTAATGATTTTCCAGACAATTAATAAAAATATTTAACCTGATTTTCAGAGTTTAAGTATTCATTATTTACATAAGAGGAATAGGTGTTAATTTCATGGACCCTGTTATTATCATGATTCATTTTTTTTTTTTAATTAGAACTTTTTAAATAGGTAGATGTTGATCACCTCTACTATCTAATTTACCACATAGTCACATTAAATAACTTATAATAAGGAACTTCTTACAAATACAATTCAAAATATATGATAGGCTCAAAATTTTATAACTTCCTGACATGACCATAACTTTTCTAACTTTACTAAGTTTTCAAAACTGTAGCAACCATAGGAAAGTTATATATTTAATATGATTAATTTAAGCAACCATTGATGAGTATCAATATTTTATATATTGTTATATTTAAAAAATTCAAAGTGATATTTAATTTACTTTAAAAATAGCCTTTTTACTTTTATTTTTGAATTTGACACATTTTTTTAAAATGTCAATGATAACTCCTTGAGCTATATGTGCCTTACACAATTTATACTTGGATATTGGCTGCTTAAAATCAAGTTTTTTCAATATTAAATATTATAAAAATTCCATAAATTTTAACAATTACAATTTTTACTTTAATATTTTAAAACTTTTTATAAAAATCAATTGGTTTAATAAAATTAAAAACTTTAAAAACACATAAACATATTGCTTCAGAAGCTATGATTTATAATAAAATATTTAAGAAAATATATCATTTTTTTGATTTTTAAAAAAGAAGCCATTTTTTTAATTTTAAGTAAAATAATTTTTAAATTTCCACGCAAGTATGAACATTTTATTTTTTCTTACTCTTCAGGATAGTATGTACCCAATACAGAAATGACATTCAAAGCAGCTTCTCTAACCATATCATTGTCATCATTAATTATAGAGCAAACTTCTAAATATACAGTTGGATTTAACCTAATACCACGATCATGAAGTCTCACCTTATTAAAATCAATATAAAATAAACAATTAATAATAAATTTTAAAATGAAAGTTTTTCTAAATGTTGTTTACCATTGTATTAAAAGCATTACTTCGGGTTTTTGCATTATAATGCTGAGTATAGCTTTCAATTAATAATAGCATTTCAGAATGTATTTTTGAAGATTCTTCTGGAATTTCTACTGGCATTAGTTCTCCTATTACTCCTAAACTTTGACATGTAATATTTGGTCTATAATCTTTTAAATTCTAAAAAAATAAACTCAATAAACTGGATGATAAGAAAAATACAAGTTTTGTAAGACATACATTTTTAGCATAATTAGTAAGTTTTAAATGAAGAGCAAGATCATGTTTCATTCTTTTACCAAGAACCAACAATGTTTTCAGACCACTAGTTTTTGTCTTTTGGGATTTTATATCTTCCATTAAACTCATAATTATATCAATTATTTTATACACATTCTATATTTAATTAAAATAGCACATTTATAAATAATCTAAGATATAAAAATTATTATTATTATTTATTTATAATTACTTCTTCACTAGTCTCATTAGATGAACCAATGACAGAAAAAATAGAAAAAATTAGTATCCTGACTGTAGAGTTTAATTGTAATTTAAAATGGTCACTAAGTTTAATTATAATATTAGTTACATCAGCATTCTAAAAAAATTCGTAATTCAGCTATTACAATAAATCATAATTTCTTTAAAATTAGAATTAAAAGTTAAATTTTACATCAAATATATATATATATATATATATAATTAACTCTAACCTGAAATTGGGGCATTTCCAAGACTTCTAGTAATATCTGTATTACTTCATTTGAAGTTTTACGACCTATGATTGAGTTGACTAGAGACAAAGTTGTACAAGTCGGTTGTGTTGATAGTTTTACGAGGCATTTCAATTTTTTAACTGGGGGTTGCTGTTCCAACTAAAAAATTAATAATGGACATAAATTTCAATTAATAAAAAACTAAGAACCACAAAAACTAATTACTAACTACTTGGGTACTATATTCAGCTAGTGCTCTTTTTTTTAATAAAGCAGCCATTTTGCAACTGTATTATCTGAAACATTACTAGTATTTAAAATTATTTACATTAATATGAAATTTAATAATATTGAAATTTATATATATTTAGATAAAAAAATTCTTAATTTATTAACTTCATTTCTAACTTATACAATTTTCATGAAAGATATTTATAAATATAAACATTTTATATACCACTATTTTTATTAAAATATAGTTAATTTCATTCATAAGCAATGAACAAATCTGAACAAAATGCTCATTGAACACACAAATATAAATACAGAGTTATCCACTAACTATGTCATATTATATTCTAAAATATAAGATAAAGTATAATTTTTACTTCTTTAGAAATTATAAGTATCCTACCCATTTTAATTAACACAAATAATATAATTTTATCTCCTCTTTTTTCTCCATAAAATTTTATCAATTAAAATTTTTAAATGGAAATATACATGTTTAATTGTTTAATAAATAAGGTAACTACAGGTCTATAATAACTCTTAAACCATTATTTTATAATATATAAGTATTTTTCATTGTTGAAAGAATAAAAAAGCGTTTAAGAAATGCTTAGAAATTTAATACACGCTTTTCACATCTATCTGTTATTCTTAAGTGTCAATAACTATTATTGAAATACTAATTCAAAAGGTGCTATTAACCAGTAATTTCTTTTATTAGAATATTTTTTTATTTGTTAGATATGTAGATTTTTATAGTTAAACATGTATTTTTAAATTGTTAAAATTATAAAGGGAAAGAAGAAGAGATAGAATTGTATTATTTTGTGTTAATTAAAGTAGATATATTAATAACTTTTAAAAAGAAAAAATTACATTAGTTCCAGATTTTATAAGAATAATTGACACTTATTTATTTTATAACATCTATACTTACATTAATAGTTTCGCTCAATATAAATAACTATACGATTATGTTATTATTAATTATTTCTTACAATAATGAAAATTAACTTCTCATTCATAATGTCTTAATATGAATTGAAATGATAGCTAATGGCAAAGTAGATTGATAAGTAAACACTACCGTTATTCATTAATTATTTTAACACTGATTTTCACTAATGACATACTTAAGTTTTTTTAATTTTGGGCTATACTTGTTTTTACAACATCAAAATTGTTGTCAATCTCATAACTGCAGCATTAATAGTAGGAGCCTAAAATCGGCGGTGTTTCAGATAATATTTACGGTATATGATAACAATTTATCAATGATTACAGTAAATTAAATACTTACTAGGTACTAACCACATACCTTAACCAAATCAAAACATTTAAAATTTTGTTTCAGTAGTCAGAAATAAAAAAAGATATTTCTGAAAGTATGATTTTTGAATTTATTACAAATAGATGTATTATTTGAATTACATTATTTTAAACTGTTACATAAAATATCAATTGATATACAATAAATTTTTATACTCAATTTAGAAAGTCCTTGCATGCAGTAGGTTGAAAATTAGAAAATTCAAAATGGCCGAATGTTGATATTTAGGTAATCTGCAATTTGTGAGACTATAATAATACAGCAGTCTAGACTCTAGAGATCGTCCCTCTCTCTTTCTAAAGTGTTGTAGTTATCTTTCTTATATGTAAATAAATCATTATATTATTCATAATAGTTGTACAGAATAACGATTGAAATTGTTGATTCTAATTAAGATTCTTATAATTAAACCGTGTAAACGGTATGCGCCCATAGTGTTAAGTTAATATTTGGGTCTTTATAAATGACAACGTTAACTCATTCTTTGCCTGGTAAGAAATAAGAATATTACATCCTTTTAATTCACTGCGAAAAATCTACCTTCATAAGTTGTTCAAAATCTTATCATTAAATATCAATTAATATTATCTAAAAATCATCACTTATTAAAAAATAGGATTTACTTTTATTATATATTGACTCAATGGATAATTATTTTCAATGCTAAATATTCATTTATATTTATACATATTATATTATGATTAATATTTACAACTACTTTTATTTTATTTAGGTACTGATCTAAATAAAGCCATACAAAAGCGAAGAGCTGGATCCATAGGGTAAGAATTGTAAAAAATTAAAATTTTTCATTAATTATACTTGTATCATTTATAAATACTATTGTTTAAATGATAGTAACTACTATATTATTTGGTATTATACACCATATATGACAAAATAATTTGATTTTTAAGTATTTAATTTACTATGTAATTCATAGTATGAATCTTATAATTGAATATATCAACATAATAACATAACAACTTTTGTGTTTCATTTAAATTAATGTTTAAATTAGTACAATATTATGCAAAGTTAACAATTTAAAGTAATCACTAGAGCTAAGGCATGAACATTGCTACAACTAGACATATCTCAGTTTCACTTCTACTTCCGCCTATATATACAAATGTTTATAACTTCTGAAATATTGATCTAAAAGATGTTATTGACAATTAATTTCTTAAATGGATCACTATGTATTAAATAAGCTAGTTAATTATGTATGTTATCATTTGAAAAAATAAAATTAACATTCTTATAATGTATAAGGGATGAACATAAAATTTATTTTATGATCATTAAATTGGGAAAAACATGAAACTGTAAGAAACCAATATAAAAATTATCAGTTATATTTTTATTTATATATTAAATAAGTATTTCGTGATAAAAGAATGAAGCTGTATATCATATTTGTTTATAGCTGTAAATAATAAAACTTAATAATTCTTATGATTTCTCTAATGTCATTATTCATTCTCATTACTCTAATTGTTTGGAAAATTCAATTTATTTTATTGTAAAATTATTAAAATTTAAATATTGTATATAATTGAAAATTTTCTCCGATATTCTAAAAATTTCATTGGTTGAAATAGTAGAAGTTTAATCAATATTAAATCAAAAATAGAAATATTTAAACACAATATTGTAACCAGAAATTTTTAGTAAAAGAAACTACCAACACTAATAAAACATTGTATTTACCTTTTTTATGTATTTTTTTATTTAATATATTGGTTTAATTAACCAATGGGAAGCCTAGCCCTTTTAGCTTGCCTTTATAAACACTACTCTAGGCTAAATATTTTAATAGAGAAATTACAAAATGTTTAATTATTCAAAATACTTTTCAATTCTGGACTTGTAGTATTTATTATTTAAATAGTATACAATAAAGATTTGACATTTTTTTATTTTTATTTGACTTTGAATTATCCTGATTATAAAATGTTTAATTCACGTAATTAAAATTTTCAATTTAATTTAGAGTTTATTTTAAATATCATTCATATTCAAGTTCAGATTAAAAAGCCTTTATATCATAGATATTTGTCGAGTTAAAATTTTTTGCTAAGCTTTATTAAAAAAAAAAAAGTCTGAGATTCTTAAACTTCTTATCCTTGTCTTGATCTGGACTTGGTAATAATTTGGTCTTTATTTTAGTTATGTCTGTTTCTACCTAGGTTTTATGTTGAATCGTAATTTTTAATATAACACGTCTAATATTAGTCTCATATTTAGTCATCATCATTGTACGTTTCATTATCAACATTTCTATCTTTCCCTTCTCGTTTGTTATCAACCAAATGTATTCATAACGTCTTCTTCATTGTCATTATTATTTATTTATTATGAAAAGTACGAGTGAATCTTTATCAAATGTGTGAGTATTTTTACGTAGTAGTTGAAATATATCTGATGAACGTGATGTACAGTTTTTTTTTTTTTTTTTGATAAGATCTATTATATTATTTATAACTGTCGAGCTAAAATTATTTGATGTTTTAATAAATGTAAATTATGTTAACATATGGTTAACATGTCATCAAGTAAATAAATAAAAGGAAACACAATAGAACATTAAAGCTTTATAGTTTTAGTTTAAAAATATGATGCGCGAAGAAGTGTAAGAATGAAAGTATGTTTATTTTTTACGTCATTGAGTTTGTTATAAAAAAACATTTATCATCGATTTCATGGGATTTATCTCTTTCCTTTTCCTAATATTTGAGAACATAAATATTTTAATAATGATTCGTATTGCTTAGATTAGGTTTACTATAAATTCTAGTTTAGGCTAATCTTCAAGGAGTTTGAAGTATTTGACTACTTGTAGATTAGTATTAACGGATCGAGTGAATTCCCCTCCTATGATTCTAAAATAAAAAGATACAAAATATATAACAACACGTTTCCAAAATAATTTTATCAGCAATTCAGTCAAAGCACAATTCGACATAGAATATATTATTTACATAAGAATTAGAAAAAAAATATCAAATATGGTTTTCTTCTGTACATTTTTAATTTGGTAAAAATCGTGAAAAATTTTTAAAAGGAAATGTCCTATTAAGCAAATTCAAAATTATATTAATAAATAAACAGCATGATAGTATCTTTGTTTTAAATTGTTCTGCTTTTAGGTATACCTTTTTCATGAATTGAACATTTTATTTTCATTTTTAGGAGCCTCTTTTTAACTTGTATAATTTTACATTACTACTTAAACATTATTGAAAAATTGTTTTTATCACAGTAATTCTCCACAGTATATCATATTTTATCATTAATATACTTGTATATTTATCTTGGTATGTTTTAAGTTCCTTTTAGCTTATAATCATTGTACAATGTATTTCTATAATATTATGCAAAGCTGTGTCATACGCCCTAATAAAACTGCTCTTTTTTAACCTCCCTCCATACCTACTTCCATTTGTTGTGTTATTATATACATACCGATATTAGGTATAACTCGACATAACACATTGGCCGCGTGCGAGCAACGTTACCTAGCAATGTTGTTGGAATCTTGTTTTTTCTTTAAGAGTTACCACTGCCGATCGAATGGTGTTGGCGGGGCAGGGGCGCTACCCCCTCTTTAATACATGCTTGTAATTGTGTGTATACCTGTGGCAGCAGCATTGGTCGTCCGGTTCTGGCTTCATTTTTCAGTTTAGTTTCCAGTGCTCTTACGGATGTTTGTGTCGTGTTTATTGTCTTCGGGGCGCTACTCTTGTACACGTGTATACGTATTTATAATTTGTGAATGAGTGAACCAGTTTTCAAGTTATGTTGTGTATAATACAGTATCTTTAATATATCATTTTATTGCGATAACCTGAAAGACGATTCACTACCAACTCGATTCTTATATTTTATCAATTTTCTTTTTATATGGTGTCTTGCGTTATATATGTCGTCGCGGCGACGACGGTGTCCAGACGCGAAAACGTCGGGACTATGCTATGAAAAGTTAACTGTTAGGACATCTACGTCCATCGACACCGGATGTACGGATACGCAGGACCACCCCATTATGGGGCCGTCGAGTCTATTGCCGGAGACTCAGCAGGATATTTACAGCCCGGCGGACCCCATTTACCCATGGCCATGGTCATGCCTATGCCGGCTGTCTGTGAGCCACCCCCAAATCCTCAAATACCCACAGATGAGTCGATTCCAAAAAGACGAAGGTACAATTATATTATTAAGAATTTTTCATTAAAAAATAATAGTAAATCAAGTAGGCTTAATAAATGTATACATTATTTTTTGCTTAAGTGTTAAATATTCAAGATGATGCATAATTACATGAGATTTAACATATTTAAATAATATCAATACTTATTTCAAAAAATGTATGTTGCTTTAAAAAGTATAATTTGTTTTAAAACATTCAATTTGCATATTCGTGTATTTTTATGATTTGTCATAATCATTTTTCTAACTATAATTATGTAAATTTTTTATATTTTTCATATATTCCAATGTATTTATAACGATTCAATTTTACATTTGTATAATACGATTCAATTTATAAAAAAATTAAAAAATGACTTGATATAAATTTTATAGCACTATTGTTAAAACATTTTTTGTAGAGGAATAGGTACATTTCTTTTAGTCATATTTAATGAAAAAATGTACATGAAGTGTATTTTCAAACGAATTAAGTATTTTTTATTATATTAACAATTTTACTTAACACCTATTTATTATACAACTCAGTTTTCAGCCCACTGAATTTCATAACTTATTTTCATTGTACGTTGAATTATATGTTAAAATTACAAATTAATTATCGTTGTTATTTATTTTTAAATTCAGATTTTATTTTGTGGCATCACGAAAAAATTATTTAAGAGAATAGAAATTTAAAAAAATATTGTATCAACAACTAAAATCATATCTATATATATGTAGTAGTTAACTAATTAATTTATTGACAATGATACAAAATAGTTTTTTTATTTTTTTTAATAATATAAGAGTGTATAACTAGTATATAACAGTTTTTGTTTTTGGAAACTATTCCATTTTCGAAGGTTTTTGACCCAGTAAATAATTTACACAAATGTTAACGTGGCATATCTATATATTGTTTATTTATACTTCATTTGATACTGTTTAGTAAAAGAAAAAATTGTGTTGAATATTTACATTTTGATTAAGTCTGACGTACTATGTTTGAATAATAAAGTAATTATTATTCATTTGAAATTTACTTCATTGTCCTCCGTGTTATAAACACCAAAAGTTTATTTTCCAAAATAGGATACTTTTCTATCTTCATATAATATCTATTTAAGAACTTACAGACTTTTTTCTAAACTTAAAGCCAATTAAAATTTATTTGAATTTAGAGACATTGGAGAGGAGTATAAAATAAAATCATATGTTTCATCAATATAATATCCATTATGTATGAATTGTAATTCTATTAATATTTAAACCCACAAACAATAATATGTAGTAGTTATTAAGATTAATGATACAAATATGTTAAAACTAACACGTAAAGCGTATAAACCACAGTTGCCTAATTTTGTTTTACATGTAATCGATTATACATACTGACCATATTTTAGTTCTAACTTCAAACAAAATTTTAATTGTAGATTTTTATAACTTTTATTTTAGAATAAAATAAATTCATAAAATAAAATTACTAAATCAAATTAGTACTGTATGCGAAATATTATTAAGAATGAATGAAAAAATTTATATTTTTTATCTTTTCAGTATAAAAGTTAAAATTAATATTCAACAGTAACCTGCAACAAAATAACTTTGCATTCGCTGTAATTATATTGATTAGTAGTTTTAGTAAAAAACATTCTACCCTTTAAGCTTCTATGTAAATGAAAAGAGTAATTTACATGTTTAGAATCTATGCACAGGCACATAATGTTAAAATAAGATCTGAAATATTTATAAGTATTTTTGTATTATATTATAATAATATATGTTTTTAGATCTTACTTTAAAATAATAATAATATGTGATATTAAAAAACGTGTAATAATTAATTTATCTGCGTATTCAGATTTTTATAAAAATTATACCCTTGGCTAATCCCAATTAATTGGGATAAAAATGAGGAAAAAGAAAAATGCCTATGTATAATCAAACTATGTATAGTTTTCTTTAGAAACTAATAATTTCTTTTTGATTCAAAATAAGTTTTTAAAATTTAGTAAAATAACTAAAAAATTATTTTTTATTTTTCACTTCTGATTAAAAATTTTATGTCACTTTAAAATTTGTATAATATTTTTTTATTAAGAATACAATGATTATTTTATTATTAAAAATATTATAGTGTAAAAACTTTCAAGTTTATGAAAGTTACAGAAAAATTTTAATAAATTATATTATTGCTAAAAATGTTCAATTAATTTTAAACATCTTCAAAACTACATTCTTTTGAATTTTATATTATTTTAAATAAGTTAATATTGCGTTTACATTTTCACTGGATTAAATGATTTTACGCCATGTGTAACGTTTATTAATGTGAATGTTTAACATAACGCGTTATTCTTAAGTATTTTATATTATATATAGTTTTTTTTTTAAAGAAATCTTATAAATATAAAAAATGTAATACTGAAATTGATATTTGTTTGAATTATTATTTCTAACTATTAGTATTATAAAAAAAAGTATTCTGTTAATTTATTTAAAGTTTCAATTTTATCCTTAAAATAGGTTGTATTTTCATTTATTATTGCGCTTTGGCTAAATGTTTTTAAAAATATCTCCTTTACTTGATAATTAGAAAAATAATAGTTAGTTGAAAGAATGAAAACTAACATTTTTTTATTACTTTACGAAATATGTAGTCGTTAAAAAACAATAAATAACACTTCTATAATAGATATCTATTTATTGAACATTGAACCTCAAACCAATGCTTCTAAATTGATGTACCACATCTGACACGCCTTCTCGCGAGTTATGTCGATAGACAACGTGTAAGTGTAGAGGACAACGAACACTACACGCATTAGTTCCGCAGTTTCCTTAGGTTAGTTATATAGTCAGTCACCTTTTCTTAAATTTACAACAAAACTATCAGGATTATTCCCGTTTTGAATGTTGACTTAGACTCGCACTTGTTGCGAAATCACTAGATTTTGTAAATCGTATCTTGTAAAGAATGTCTATGAATGGGGAAAAAAGCAAAAAGGATTTGACCTTTTTTCTATATATCAAAATCACCCCTCGGTATGTGGTCTTCGTCCTTTGACCAGGTGTCTTAATACAGGTGTGCATTTCATCTACATTCGCAGACAAATGGACTCCAAATTTTTTTATCGTCTCTTCCTATTTATGAAATCGCTTATGTTCTCATTCAGTTGTACTAAAAGCAAAAGAAGTGATATATTTTTCATTGTGCGCATTTCTCCAAGAATTATGCGTTAGAAATAGTATTAAATGAAGATTATTTCCATAACAATCATACTGTTATAACGATTTTATTTCAATCACTTTTTTCAAAAACTAAAAAATGTGTGTGTTTTCATACAAAAACCTTATAGGATTATGCTGCGCAAATACTATTTTTTAATCTCATTTATAAATATTACTCAATATTAGATTGAATCTTCTATGCCTATTAAATTATAATTGTGTATTTTTTTTATTTCAGATCAGATGAAGAAGATTCTAGCCAAAAATACTCTAGAATGGAAGATGATAACATTCAAGACAAAGAAAGGTTTGCCAGGTGAGTGTCTAGTAAAATTTGAGGGATAGTATTGGTAATATTTTATACACTTGTAACTTTCTTCTTAAAAACATTGCCAACCTATATTATACTATTTCAATCCATTAAAAAAAAATTTTTTGTAGATTCAGGTTTATGTTTATTAAATTGATATATTTTGTTTAGCTGATATATAATCATTTTTATGATAAATTATTTACCCTAAAAATTTTTTTTCAAACCAGACTTTATTTACTTGTATATTTTTTCATTATCATTTTTTCTAGCATTATCTAAAATGTGATTTATATTTTTATTCTGGAAATTATTGCGTTCAGTCTTCATTTGTTAGTATAAGTTTTCTTCAAACAAATGAAGCTTTTTATTTTTCTCGAAGAAAAATAAAAGGTTACTACGTTATTTTTTCAAATCTGTTATTTAGTATTTTCTAGTATTGTAATATTTAACGTCTTAGCATTAACGTTAAATTTTTTATTTTGTTCTTGAATTGTTTACAGAAAAGTAAAAAAAAATATGATAAAATAAGAATACTAAAGGCTTAGTATAACGCAATAAAAAATCATAACGAATGTAATAAACATGAAGTTATTACCCTTTTAAGGAAAATAACATTTTTTTATTCTTATCTGCCATCTCAGGTTTTTTTATTTTACTGAATCTCTTGTTACATAAACAAACAAAACAAGAGATTTTAAATAAAATATTTTAGTTTTAATCATTTAGTTATTTACCATGAATTAATTTCAATAAATCTAAAACTAATTTAAACTTATATCTCTGAATTTATCAATTTATTTGAAAACTAACATCTTTTATAAATCAAATTCGTTTTTTAATTATTTGTTAATAAACCCCAATATTAGAATTTTTAAATTAAATTTTTATATTCTTTTTAATATGGTAATAATATGACATTTTAACAACGCGCTACTTATACAACGTCAATATGTCTTCGAATAATTTACAATTTAAATTATCCGTAATTATTGAGTAGAAGCAAATAACTTATTTTATGGAAATTTGTATGTTTTCTAAATCGTGTGAGCGACATAGTTGTTGTTAGTTGTAGTTACATTTTTGTTATTGTTGAACTGTTTACCGCTTAATTTATTAATGACATTTTAAATTACATATATAATTACAAGAACTCATATGTTTAGTGAAATTTATATAATTAACAATAATTTATTTACTAAATCTATGCTAACATTAATCTCAAAACTAACTAAAATGTTGTGATCAAAATTATACGATCCCTTGAATTTATTATAAACTTGCTCCTTTTTTTGTTTACGTATTTTTTATAGTTATTATTCATATAAAATGATCAATTTTTTATTGTATCATAGATATTTTCATTAATTTTACATTCGACTTTGATATATTAACTAAATATGTCAAATTAATTATTATATTTCTTGTATTGATAATATTTCAATAGTACACCAATAAATTGTATTATAACATTAAACAACTTATAAAATATCTAGTTATGTATTAACGTATTCTTGTTATTTATTAACTCGATGTTTTAATAGCCGACGAATAGAGAGAACGTAGAAAGTTGAGTTTTCCTAACTCTTGTTATCTTTAGTGGCAGCGGCAAGGTGTGTATGAGGCAATTAGGTTGTTGGGCTGATCTCTTTTAAAGACGCTTCCTGCGCGCAAAACTCCGAATGTGGTTAATTTGTTATATTATTCGAGCACGAAGGAGACTGCTAATAAAGACATGATTGTGCACGTGCTCGCTCTAAAAGTTTTCGCCTTCCCTTACTAGTAGTATTCATTAAAAACTACCATCATTCGAATTTATACTCCAACAACTTGTGCTGTCTGTATACTATATACATAATAATATTATCGTTCACATTCGTTCTTTGTACAGATTATACGTCGTATTGGTCCACAAGTTCTTACACTTGATAAGAACCACTTCGCTTTCCACCGTTATCTCTATTAGTTGAAAAAATTAATATTTAACTTTGGTAACGGTTTCGGTCTCGATTGTTTTTCTACTTCATCAACCGATAACATAGACTTGGTGTTTCTCTGTATGACTTTATGGCGAGATAAACCGTAACACAAAATTGCGAGTACTATGCATTATTATATATAACTTGCGTCCATGGAAGATGAGGATGTATAGCGAAGAGTTGAGTGACCCCTGTGGAGGAGAAGTACAACACAACAAGGCACATGCCAGCGTAGAGTACATATAGTGAGTATAAGCCGTTCTTGTATGCTAGGAGCCGTGAGAAGAAGGCGCGCATCTCGCCCGCTCGCCGCACGTCGCCTACCAAATGCTTGTCACGATTTCTTGGGCGGCAGAAAGATCATCGCCGCTCAACTGCCACCACCCCTGTTACCGCTTCTCTATGTTTTACATCGAGTTATGATATTTTATTATATAAAAATAACCTTTCACTATGATACAAAACGATCTACCAGAGTCTAGGACACTGTAGGTATAGGTTTTAACTATTAAACTATATAAAAATTAATATAAGCTACTTCTCATGGGACAATTTGCACATCAGTTCTTAGTTTTTGGAATTGTATTTGATAAATTCTTAATTGATTGTTCATCGACATTAAAAGAAAATGCATATTAACTTTTTATATTTGTTATTAAATAATTTGTATGCATTCAGATTTCTAAAGAAATTCAATGTAAAACAAATTTATTTATTTTTACCGCTATTTTAAAATATGATTATTTATTTTATTTTATTATTATTCCTATTAATATTTGATTTAAAAGTTTCATAATCTTAAGTTAAAATAATCGTTTATTTAATTACAATGTAACTTTTTACTTCGTATAAATGCAACTTAAAATTATGAGGCAGCCTAGCTTAATTATGTTTATTTTAACCAACTACATTTCCTCAGACAACAATAACAATTTAAAACATACCTATACTATTATGTTTGAAAATATTTTTAAATGTTATTTTTTTTTTTATTGTACTGACTAATAATCATAACTGTATATAGTAATGCATACTTTAGTTATTAGTGTGTATCAATGATAAAATAGTCGACGCGTAAAACTTAATATTTCTTGGTCTACTTTAATTTTAGTAAGCATAAAAAATTTGAGAACTTATATTTCATATATATATATTGAAATGAATTAGTTAATCGTTTTTCTAGCTCGTTTGACTGAGGCTGTTTTTTTAATTAAAGTTTATATAAAATAATCAACGTTTAATTTTGTACCTTATAGAAATTGTTATCATAACAATTATAGAAAGCGAGCAAATAATAAATTTAATAACAAATTTGTTATACTAACTATATGTTAAAGAAATCAATTTTATTAAATTAATCGGAAATTCAAACCTATTATACTTTTATAAGTGAGCTATTTTACGCGATAAGTAGACATTAGGTTTGTCGAATGTTTTAATAATCTATCACGTATACAGCACGCTTGTGTTAGTTATTTCTTTTCTTTCCTTCGAGTATGTACACTTTAGTTGTATTGTTTTATTGTAGTATAGTTAGTAGGAAGGTTATCCAAAAAGTAATAACGTCATACGCTTGATAAGGCTAAAGAATTGACTACTCAGTAAAAAGTTAAAATAGTTTAAAACTTAGTTCATATAGAGTCAATTTTATATTGAATCTTAACCCTTAAATGAATAATATTTTATTATAACATATTATGACTTACAAATTATTTTATTTTATCTTCTTTAAATTTGGTGAGCTCAATGAAAAAAGGTAAAATTAAAAAAAAAATTTATAACAATATGAATATGCGTTCTTTGTATCTGGCTAACTACTATTTTGTTATATACACTCTCCTAATTCCCATTAATTACTCCTGCGAGCGCTATCGCTTACATCTCTATTATTGTAATTATCTCAAAATGTTGGTTAATTGTTTTGTCACAAACAAATATGTAGGAACATTTAATAAAAACTTTCAATTAATAATATTAATTTTTTTCATTGAAAACGTGCCTTCAGTTATCTTTTAATTTAATACTGTTCATCGTTTCTTACTCAACTTATATACAATTATATAATTGTGTTTTTTGACGATTTATGTATATCTTGCGATTTTTTTTTTCCATGTGAAATCACTGTAGGGAGAATCATTGCGAAATTGAAAGGCGGAGGCGGAACAAGATGACAGCATACATCACTGAGTTATCTGACATGGTACCAGCATGTCAATCACTAGCCCGTAAACCAGACAAACTTACCATTCTTCGAATGGCCGTCAACCACATGAAAAGTCTCAGAGGTAAATATTATATAATTTAAATGAAAACTGGTCAGAAACAAACACATATTAAACATTAGTTGAGAACGCAATATAACTATTTTTTGATTCTTAATCCCTTAAGAATTAAAATTGAAAATGCTAACATATAACTGTTATAAATCAAATTTAAAGTAATCTTTCTTTTGCCCCTTAAGTTGCCTCTGACAATCGTTTAAAAAATACAATTAAGACATGTAAAATTTGTAATTATAAAATATCTTATTTTTGATTTTTGTATAAAAAAGGTGATCAAAAGGCATCTGTTTATAATCTATATCTATTTATCTAATTAAATGTAATCAAACAATGTACCCGTTATTTTGTTTCTAATGCAAAAAATCAACTTCAGGATATGTTCGTTATAATTTTATTATTATCTTTTACTCTCCAAATTCTGTTGATACACTACGCTTGTTTGTACTTCCTTGGTGAAGCTTGAGATGAAGACGAAAACATAGGCGCGTGAGAATTAGTAAATACGTCTTGGACAAGAACACCCTGTCGCAGGATGCGTGATCCCTTTTCATTTATTTCCTTTTCCGGGCCAACGTTGCGTGTGCTTTATCGCGTCCTGCATCAGATGCTAGGGATTTTGAGACCGATTTTAATAATATTATTGTACATAAGTTTTTCTCATTTTCTTCAGGATGCACTCGTCGCGGAGATTTCATTTCCTGTTTTTTTCTCATAATATTTCTAAATGTATCTAAGAGAAAACTTAATATTATTATACATCCTGTATAATAAACCAATAATTATTGTCAACGAAAATTAGATCAAATTTACCTATTGTTTTGTTAATAATTATTGGATTTCAAAGTATCACTTGCGTCATTTTAACCGTAATGAATTTAGTTCTTATTATTATGAAGTGCGGGATGATCATTTAGTATACACTTAATCATGCAATATTTATATGAATATTATTACTCTTGTGTGTATATGTAAGACAAAGAAAGAGTCGTGACTTCTTTGCTGACTAAAGCATAGTTATGGTTTATTTGGTCTCCCGAAACTCAACCGGTACGTTAAGAATGATTTACAACGTCTACAGATGTAAAAATAAACACTTATTGTTTTGTGTTACGTGAAGTAGAAGTGCGCACTGATCAAAATAAGCTAACTCAATTTCTCGTGCAATTACCCATTCTCATTATAGGGAGTATTTATATTTATACTACGCACTGACCACAAGATCGTTAATTTGTTCGTTAAAATTTCCTTATTATCAGAATTTTTTTTTAAATAAGGCGACCGGTTAAATAAGGTGTTAAAATAACATTTTAAATGCAAGATTTATGACTTGGCAGCTTAATACTATTTTCTACATTTTTTTCACCTATAGCCAATGTGTTACTGTGAAGTAAGGTGTATAACGCGTTTTATTTTTTCTCTTCTAAAATAATATAACGGAAACTCGCCTTTCCCTAACGGAGTACAAAATATAATAATAACCGATTGTATTCAAATGGTGACCAAGACAAGAATGAATATTGTCACATTATAGGTGGCCTGCGTTTGCTTGGAACCCGGTCATAGCCAGCAGTTACAATATATTATTATTATTATTATTATTATGTTGAAAATAATGTATATAATAATATTGTTTAATATTCACCTGGCTAAGCGTTGTATATCTATCAGCCCGCGGCAAAGACCTATTGTTTATTGTCACGTCCATAGTCAATTTCCTGTTTCACCCTGCTTTTCTGACGTATTTTTATTATTATTGTTATTATTTCCACGCATGATTTGAATGCCAATTTTCTAAAAATAATGTTGCTAATTTTTGGTATGAATATTATTAAACTAATTTAAATAAATGAAATCAAATGTTTTTCTTATAAAATTATTAAAATTTTAATTATTCAAATAGTTTTACTATCAAATTTACCATATTTCTCGCCTAACAGTCGGGATAGTGACTTATCTAAAAAAAAAAAAAATGTTGCAAGACTAGTGAAAATAATAAGAAAAATATTTGCAAAAATAAAAAAATGAATATTTATGAGTTTTGTGTCACTATAGAAAATGTATTCTTGTTGACATCGTCTTTTATACTGTAACAGTACTTATCTCATACATTAACAAAACGAAATTTTTATCAATAATAATAAAAGAAGATATTCTAAACATATTTTTTTGTGAGACTGATAGTCTGCGATACATAGTTATGAAAATAAAATCATCTCTTGTATAATTAAAATTTGTGTTTTAATCATCTTAAAAACCTAGAAAAACGAATGTACGCACTGTTGGGGTATAAACGACATCTTGTTACTCTTATAAATGTATCCCTTTATTATTTTTAAAGCTCAAAAATGTACCCTTCATTGGACCTCTACGTAATTAGAATTTAAAAATATTGTCTCTAGATTTTGACTTACAATTTACAGGGACAGGTAATACAAACAATGATGGTACATACAAACCCAGCTTTTTAACTGATCAAGAGTTGAAGCATCTTATTTTGGAAGCTGCTGATGGATTTTTATTTGTTGTAACATGTGATACTGGTAGAGTTATCTATGTATCTGATTCAGTTGCGCCCGTATTAAATTACTCTCAAGTAATTATGTTTTTAAAACATTTTTTTAAAACATAATATTTATCATATACATAAATGTTTAGAATGACTGGTTAGGAACAAGCATGTTTGACCATTTACATCCTGAAGATGTTGAAAAAGTGAGAGAACAATTATCAACTCAAGAACCACAAAATTCTGGTCGCATATTAGATTTAAAAACGGGAACTGTGAAAAAAGAGGGTCATCAGTGTAAGTCTAATCTAAATTATTAAGTTATATTTTTTATCTTCCAAATCTTTAAGTAAATATAAATTTATTTACCTCATATATTTATTTATAGCTTCCATGAGACTTTGCATGGGTTCACGACGAGGTTTCATTTGTAGAATGAAAATTGGTAATAGTGGAGGAATGATGGCTAGTATTTCTGGTCATAATTTACATCAGAGACTTAAACAGCGCAATACTTTAGGACCAACACGTGATGGAAATGAATTTGCTGTTATTCATTGTACTGGCTATATTAAAAACTGGCCTCCAACCGGTCAGTTTGATCATCCGTTATCTGGTATGCTGTCGATCTGTCGTCTAATCACTGCGATGACACTTACCATTAAATAATTATTATAAGAGTTTAATTAAATTTTAATATAAAAATATTTATACTAATAGGTGTTCAAATTGAACGTGCTGTTGAAGAAGATGGTACTCATTGTTGTTTAGTTGCTATTGGACGGTTACAAGTCACTTCTACTCCAAATACAACTGACCTATCTGGATCTAATAGTAATGCAGGTAAAGTCGAAATTATATATTCATGTATATTTAATGACATAATAATTTTATTTTTATGAATATTTTTTAGAATTTATATCACGCCATTCTATGGATGGTAAATTTACATTTGTTGATCAACGTGTAACTCATATACTGGGATACAAGCCACAAGATCTACTAAGTAAAACTTGTTATGAATTTTTTCATCCAGAAGATCAGACACATATGAAAGATAGTTTTGAACAAGGTACTGTTGGTATTAAAATTAAATTTTGCACCATTTATTTATTATAATGTAATTTCCATCATTCCAGTTTTGAAAATGAAAGGTCAAGTTATGTCTGTAATGTATCGGATTCGTGGTAAAAATCATGATTGGATATGGTTACGAACTTCAGCTTTTGCTTTTTTGAATCCATATACTGATGACATAGAATACATTGTTTGTACAAATTCTACTGCTAAGTAATTTATTTTATTTAACTGTTAATAACTGTGAGTTATTAATAAAAATCAACTATTAATGAATGGATATAATGAATACTGTAGATCTTCAATGCATTCACCCTCTGAAAGTGGAGTCAATATCAGCAATCCATCAGCTGAACCTGTTTACCAGCAACAAGCACCTGGCTTAGATTATACAGTTCAAAGGAGAGACCATGTAGGAGCTCCGCCTTATCAAGCACATTCTATGATAACAGCTGCTCCGACGCCTAACCAACATATGATCCGTAAGTAACTCTAACTTATATTTGTTTAAAAAAATTTAATGTTACATTTAAAAATGTATAGCCAATAACACAGCACAGAGACCCAATAGTACTCAAAATGTTTTTAACTCGTATGAGACTAATGCATCTCCTATTAGCTATCATTCTCCAAACCAAGGTACTCAGAACCAAGTGCAATCACCTTTGATGAATCGTATAACTAAATCAAGCCCTACACCAGCACAAACAGCATGGACATTACGTCAAGTAAGTAAAATCAGATTTTAACTGTATGTAATTAAATAAAGGTCTTATTTTAAAATAAAATTTTAGCCGGTTACTGAAGGATATCAATACAACCAAGAAATGAGTCCATCACGTTCACCATCAGGTCCAACATATACACAATTAAGTGGAGGTGCACGGCAAACTACTTATCACAATTCTTCTCCTGCAACCGCCACGCCAGGTATTTTTTAACATCAATTTCTTAGTGTAATAAATATAATACATGTGTTTTATATATAGGAATGTGGGGGTGGCAAGCTGGAGCTACAGGTGCTACAGCTGTTTCGAATAATGTACCACCACATCCACATAGTGGTCATCCTCAAGAACTGTCTGATATGATGATGCAAATGCTTGATCAAAGTGCAGCTGCTGCTTCATTTGAAGATTTAAACATGTTCAATACAAATTTTGAATGAGAAGTAAAATCAAATTTATTATGGAAAAACTTGTCTATTATGTAAGCTCAAAAAGTTAGTCAGAGCAGAAGTGGATGAACGTAATATCCTTTAACTTATGATTTAGTATATAATCAAATCTTAAATTTGTCTTAAATGATCATATTAATTAGAAAATGTTGATTATCATACTATATCAAAAATTATATAATATGATTGAAGTAAATATATTTTTGCCTAGAAAATGTTTCTTAGTCTAATTTTTCACTTTTAGAAATAATATTTCTGGAGTGATAATTGTATTTTAACTGCATTTATATTCATAAGGAAATAATTATTGCAATATTTGATTTAATACTCTTATACATTTCAAATGTTTCAATGGCATAAAATAAAGAAACCATTTTATTTTTGCCATAAAGAGACACAAAAAATATATAATCTGGACAATATTAATAGTTTCCTTTATAACTATTAAAATACAAGGACAAAGAAGAATATAATTATATTCAATTTTTTTCAATATAGCCTTTTCCTACCTCTTAATTCTTTTAAGTTATAGTTAAAAGCTCTAGTTACCCTGTTAAAAGCTTTAACTAAATTATTAACTTTATGCTATTTGAAATGTTTTACAATATTAAATTTAAATCTTAATTTTGACAATTTTATTTTATATTATTTGATAAACATAATTTCCTGTTTCAATCGAAAAATTGNGTTTTACAATATTAAATTTAAATCTTAATTTTGACAATTTTATTTTATATTATTTGATAAACATAATTTCCTGTTTCAATCGATTAATATTAATATCATTAATATTTATTCAAACATATCATAATAAATACCAAATTCTTCCCTTTTAATGTATACTTTTCTTAATTTATAATATTGTAATGCACCTTTGAAGATTATTTCTCTATTGTATTATGTTTAAATTAAACAAAATATTGCTCCTTAATTTCAGTTTTAGAAACATAATTTTAAGGTGAATTTTATATACATATATAAATTTTATACCTTTTTGTGTATACTAAATGTAAATATTTAATTTGTATTGAATAATTCAATATACTACTGTCTTTATTGTGTGTGAATATTTATTTTATTTTTTTATTTAACTATTATTTAATTTCAAATTGTTATTGTATTAATTTTGTTTTTAGTATGTAGATAAAAAAAAATTACTTACTGATTATATATACTCTCAATCATAAACAAGTTACATGCAATTCTGAATTAAAAAATATTGAAAATCAAGTTCTAGTGAAAATAAGTGAACACATATAATGAGTTCTACAAGCCTGACACTAAAAACTTAATCATAATTAACAATTGACTAAAATTTCTTCTATGAAAATACAGTCTGTAGATTTTTGTAATTATTTATTTACTCAATTTCATAAAAAAAAAATTTGTTTTATTTCATGTAAAATGTACTATTTCTCTCACGTTTATAATGTGTGTTTACTTACTATCACTCCAAAACATTCTCCATTTTGCGATTTATTTGATCTATATATTTATATTTATTATATATGTAAATAATATCTCTATTTTAAGTTTATAAATAATAATTTTATTGTAATATATACAATAATTTATATTATGCTAACTGTAAAATCAATAAAAAGAATAAAATGGATTTTTTATTATTATATTTAAATTTTTTTGTACAGTGTTTGCGTTATTTTTTAGGTCCTTAAGCATTTTTGAAACCTATATACTTCTTAATATTCTTCCGCTTTCTAGCTTTTGATGTTATGTTTAGTTGCACTTCATTTGATATTAATACATTTGTAAGAACATTATCTAGCATTTTTTTTATTTACAGCAATTCCACCTATGGCGGAGTAAAAAAATGTTATCTGTATCATGTTTATTAATAGCTTGTTTACTTTTAAATATGTAAATTAAAAAAATTTTGATCGCAGGACGTTAGGACTATTTCTACTAATGAATATCGTTCACCATTTTTATCAACCTGAAATATTTCACTACTTTTGTACAATGTGCAATTTTACCATTATCATTGGTTTTGTTTTTTTCCTGTATTTTCTGTCATAAACAAAAACTCATTCTTCAAATAAAAATTATAATTTAATAGTTCATAAGTACTGTCCATATCTTGGACGGTATCTATCATATATCTTCAATTTGAAATATTTCGTTTGCTTACATCTGGACTATCAGTAATCCTACTATCATATTATAGGTTTTATTCTCTTTCATATTTTGTACGCCAGTCCTAAGTGTTTTATCTTCTTTATTTCATTGACTTTACCCAAGGTTTTTGTACGACGATTCATTATTTTATTATTAGATCTCTTCATTCAAGTAGCTTTATCTTTAAAATGATAAATCTTGAGCGATATTTCTTAACACGTATTAATAATATGAATAACGTTTTTGTTATTATACATTATTCAATTAGTAAGGAAAAGGGTTTCTATTGTTCTTATTATTTGTAACAATTCACCTGTTTTCTTACTTTTTATATGCTACGCTTTTAGAGTACGGTAAATATAAATATATTTTTAAAAGGAGATGCATAACTTTTAATTTTCTATTTATACTTGAGGATTGAAATTTTTTAAAGATGAATCCTAACTTGAATAGAATCATCACAATGAGAAGACCTTGTTTTATACACTGTACGTTGGAAAAATGTATGCATTAAAAAGTTGCATTGAAAATAAATTTATCTAAATATACTGTTGACTCACTTTTAAATTTCTTTTTTTTAAGTCCCTCCTTTTTATTATATTTTAGATTTGTATGATTAGAGACTATTGCATTGGCGAATATAACTGTTGGACCATCTGTTTGAATTGGCCGTTTAATAAAAAATATGATCTCTCATTTTTTTTCCTTGGATAATTTGTTTAGTTACGTTGCTTTATTCGATTCTTTTTATTAATTGTTCAAACACTAAAACTGCATTAGTCACTTTTAGCTTCGATGCGAAGCGGAGAAGGTATTAATTTTACTATGATGTGTTTTTTTTTTTGTCTGTTGCCACTTTTTCTCAGCTCTCACTGGACCGATTTCTTTCAAAAATACGTCAAAAGATCACAAATCGTATCTAGTTGAAGACATTACCCTTAAAAATTGAAAAAAATTCCCTCGTTCCCCGCAAATGGGGGAAATATCCAAAAAAATTACAAATTTAAAAATCGCTAATTTTCGAAATTTTTTCACTTTTTTTTCTTAAAACTTCCATAACTTTTTGAAAAATCAACAAATCAACATAATTTTTTTTTATACTAAAACCTTAGATATTTACCTTTCATTTGATATCATTTTTTTGAAAATCTATCACTTAACCTGCTCATTGGGGGGGATTTAAAATGGCAACTTTTTTACAAAAATTAATTTTTTCAACTTAATTTTTGAAAATGTTCCGGAAAGACTGCGTCCTTTAAACATATATCAAATTAAAGCTTATTTTATGTACTACAAAATGAAAAAAAAAAATTTGTCCCGACACTTTTTTTTCTACATTTAAACGGCTGCCGTAGTTAAAAAAACACTATTTTTGTGTTAAAATTTTCGATTTTCGATTTTAAATTTTCAACTTAAAAATGCTATAACTTTTTGAAAAATGTATATATCAGCACAAATTTTTTTTTTCTAAATACATTATAAGTACATCTTTCATTTGACATACTTTTTATTAAAATTGGACAATTTCCCCTTATATAGGGGGCGTTCAAAACTTAAAATATTGTAAAAAACATAGATCTTTTTCAACTGAACTTTTGAAAATGTTCCGGAAATACTGCGTCCTTTAAACATATATCAAATTAAAGCTTATTTTATGTACTACAAAATGAAAACAAAAAATTTGTCCCGACGATCTATCTTCTATACGCAAACGGCTACCGTATTCAAAAATATGCTATTTTAACAAATTTTTTTTTAAAATGAAATACTATCTACAGATTTGCATCGAAGCGTTTCTTATGATAGTGATTTAAATCACTGTCAAATATCATCTATACTTGTCCCATCTATGCCTTGTCTACACTGTGCCTCGACCCCACTGTGCTACCGTTTTTTCAAATTTATATTGGCCACTGTTTATAGCAATCTTAAATGTGGACTGTTTGAGTACTGTATATGTAAATAAAAGTATTGAACTAAATGTATACTTTAAGCACTATTAATTATAGAAATATAATAAAACGAATATTGTACAAAATGAAATTCAGTTAATTGAAAACGTAGGATAACAAAAGTGAATTATAAAAATTAAACTGACAGTTAATGATCATGTACAATTATTAAATGTCAACATATTAACATTTCTATAGAATTGTTTATAAAACATAAAAATATGCTTTAGCCCGTATAGTAATTTTAATATTTTCATGAAGAGAACTAATTATTTCATTAAATTGTAACTAAAATAAGAATTTATTCACACATATTTTTTTTTTTTGTTAATTGATAATCTTGCTTTTAAAATAAAATAAAAAATGTTGAGCAATTATTATTGCACTGTACAAAACATCCAAGTACTCTTGTCATCAAACATCTCTTGAGTAAATTACAATAATACTACAATTTAAATAATTGTAAATATTAAATATATTATAAAATTAAAACAGTTAATGCGTTTAGAAATAAAATTACAATTTTTAAAACTAAGTATAAGTTTTCAGTTTTCATTATCTGCTACTAATGTTGTAATAAAATATATTTTATCTAGAAAAAAATATAATTATTATATTTTTCTACACAGATAAAATTAGTTTTGAGTTCTGAAAATAGCTTTACATAAATAAATTTTTAATGGAAATTGTCTAAAATGTAATATAGATTTTGAAAAACGTTTGCTTTATTTTATTTTGGTGTAGCTCCAAAAGCTATATATATAACAATTGTATGATCCTATATTTATAGAATACATTATGTATATAATATACAATATGTTATCTTATATAATCTAAACATGAAAATTGTGGGTTCATCCTATGACACACCTGTATAATAAAAATGTTTGTATTTAAAGAAATACTCACTATAAGTAAAAATGAATAGTATTATACTAATAAAGTATTCGGAACATAGATAACAAAATGGTTTTTTTTTATTTGAAGGAGTCAGTGAATAAAAGTAACATTTTAAACATTTTTCATGTAGAATGGTTTTATAAAAAAATTAATAAAGTTAAAGACCTTTAAAATATTGAATTTATAAACTTGATTATTTTAAGAAAAATTTTAGTTGGACGCTTACTCTCTGCATTATTCTACTTTATAAAACTGGTTGATTCTAGACACTAGAAATTATTACAACAAAAACCCCATTTAATTGAAACTTTATTCAACAAAATATAAATGGCAAACATATTTTTGAAATCTGATTATATGATTATTTGTTTATTATTTATTATTATCTGATATATTTTGTAAATATTCAAGTTTATCAAATATAATATTAATAAATGTATAAATAAATTTTGAATTTATTATGACTGTATTGAAGTATTTTCATTTAATGGCATATTGTTGAGTTCTTTTTCTTTTTCTTGTCTAGCTCTAATTTTTGTCTGTCTTCTTTCTTCAGCTAACATCCTATTATGCATCATTCTTTGCCTTTGTTCTTCTGTTAACCCTGAATTACCGATACTAGATGTAGAGCTAATAGGAAATATATCAACAGAGTTAGCAATTCTATCAAATGGATCTTGTTGATTAGGTGATTCATTTATTTCAGTATCCAATTGTGTAACTACTTCTTCATTGAAATCCATGTCCATTCTAAGTCGCTTAAGCATTACTTTAACTTCATTCTTTTTTCCTAATTTTTCAAGTTTATCAATGGCATCATCAAAAGTGTATCTCGGAAAAAGTCTATGGGTCCATTGTTCAAGGCGATTCATAACAGCATTTAGATCTTCAACTTCATGACCTTTACCTTTAAGCTGAACATTATCAAACCATGATTGAAGAATAGACAGACCTCTGGGACCTCGTAGTCTAAAAAAATTAACAATTTAAAAATTGAAAATTAGTTTCAATAATATTTCAAGGATTACTTTTATAATAATTGATTGTAAATAATGAAAATAAAATATTTTAGATTAAATTGAAGTTTCTTGATATCATTTATGACAAAATTTAAAAGTATTTTTATAATTATTGAATTAATTGTTGAATATAGCAATTGTTAAACAAATTATTTTGTAACAATTAACGCTACACTCATTATACTAACAAAATTAATCAAAATACTTTATTCTTACAATTTTGTGTTACCTTTCAGGATTCAATTTAGGTTGAGGTTTTTTGACACGGATTTTAACGGGAACCACTCTTTTTTCTTCTGCATCATTTTTTACTGGTATTTCTATAACACAAAGAGATTATAAAAACATGTCACTCTTAACAACATATTTTTAAGCTGTTATATCCAAAATAATTATAGTTGTTAAGTTTTAAATTAGTTCCATTAAAAAGTTTAACAATTTTATTATAAGGTTAAAGAATTAATTACTAAAGCTTAAAAACACAACATGTATAATAGTAAAAATTAGAAATATACAAAATACTTACCCTCAGCTTCTTCAATAGCTTCCGGCACTAAAGCTTCTAAATCATCATTTTCATCTCCATTACGATCAACCCAATTGTCCAAATCATTATCGTCTTCATAGTCTCCCATTGTAACTGTTGTGAATAACAATGACACAAAAATTCAATCGTTAAAAGATTCAGCTGTTTCGTCTTCTTGAGGGACACTTTCGTTAGTTTGATTTTCTTCGTTCAAACGATTCAAATAAGCGCATAACAAATATTTGTTTAAATGATCAGTTAAAGTTGGAGTATCAACCTTCTGTTCTTCGCTCTCTTGTAGATTGCAATCAGGTTTTTCGGGCATGACAATATTTCATAAGTAATATTAATAATAGCAACTGGATAATTAAAAGAATGTGTAACACTTACTGATTATTAACCAGTATAAAATATTAAATCAGTGATGTTAGGAAATAATATTCAATTTTCCCTTCTACTATCTCAAAATTTCCCTCATACTGTAGAAAATGGATGTAAGTTATTTTTGATATAATATTTTCTATAGCCTAAAACTTATGAGATCTTGGGAGCTTAGCTACCTCAAATTCTATTATTTAACGTCTTTTCTATCAATATTTCGGAAGATCTAACTATTTTAAAATATAGACTAGATGAAAGGCGAGAGTATGAATGCTCTATTGTAAAACATTTTGCAGCCGCACTCTTCCTATGAAGAACCAGAAACTATTATCACAGACTATATGAAAACAGATAGTTCACTTAGCCGAGAACAATAGAAAAAAAAATCAAGCTCTCTGATTGGGCAGAAGACAAAGCAGTAGAGACTGTTGTACAATTTCATATTATTGTGCAAATATTTTACAATAATATTGTACAATTCCTCTATCAGTTACAAAAATTATCAATGATATTGGAATTAATGACACTATTGCATTTTAAATACTTGAACGATAATAACGATTATAACTGTTCGCATACTTATTTTGTTTAAATAACATTTAGTCTTAATAAAAATGTTTTTTTTTTTAATATTGTCTGACATTATGAATATTGTGTTTAATTTGTATAAAAGTTGACATTTTGTGTAGTTTATTATTTCATAAATTTTTTGTCAACGTTTAGTTAGTTTTACCTATAATATATGAAGCTGTAATTTTTGGTTAAACTGTTAATAGTATTATATTTTTTATAAAATTTGAATTATTTTAGATATAATGAATAATAATATAAATTATATAATAAATTTTATATTTTTATTATTATTATTATTGTTAGCCATTTTTGGCCAAATTGTAGCCATTTTCACCGTGAAGACAAAATAAAGTCCGAAATTTTTTTTACCCAAAATAAAGTATATTACATTAGCTTTAATTTAATATATATATAAAAGCGTCAGTATTTCCGGAACACTTTCAAAAGTTAAGTTGAAAAAGTTATAGCATTATAAAGTTAAATATAATATAAAAAATAAAATCGAGAATTTTCACACGAAAATAGTATTCGATAGCCATTTTCTCCGTGAAGACAAGTCCAGAGGTCAAATTTTTTTTTTCATAATAAAGGACATTACATTAGCTTTAATTTAATATATATATAAAAGCGTCAGTATTTCCGGAACACTTTCAAAAGTTAAGTTGAAAAAGTTAATTTTTTGTGAAAAAGTTGTCATTTTGAATTCCCCACTGTGGGCTGGTAAAGGGTTAAATTTATAAAAAAAATATACCAAATAATAGGTAAAGACATCAAATATCTATATAAAATTTTCATTTTTGAAAAAGTTATGGTAGTGTTAAGAAAAAAATGTCAAAAATTACTGATTTTTAAAATTGTAATTATTTTGGAGATATCTCCCACTTATGAGGAATGAAGGAAAATTTTTCAATTTTTGAGGGTAACGTCTTCGACTAGATACGATTTGTGATATTATGACGTATCATTGAAAGAAATCGGTTCGGTGAGAGCTGAAAAAAACAAGGTAACAGACACACAAAAAATAAATAAATTAAAGAAACACACATCATAGTAAAATTAATACCTTCTCAGCTTTGCATCGAAGATAAAAAATACTGACCACTAAATATTGTAGGTACTGCATCATGACCAGCCGATTTTTTGTAGTCTTTTTCAAAAACATTTTATCGTCAAAATGATCCGCGCAAACTACTAGATTATTTTTTTTTGGATAAAGTCTCTGCCAAATGATTAGTTTGACAATTATTCATCCATAGTTTCAAACGATCATTTTCTTTAGGATAAGAAAAAAAGCTTTTATCCTTGAAGGAATATGTACTTGGACAAAACTTTACTGAGCATCGCATACTGGTGAGGTAGTGAGATATTTTGAAAGAAAGCACCAAATATAACACGAAATAAGATACATGTGATCATTGACAACATTAACAATAATAATGGTTACTGCTCAAGTCAAGTCAAATTTAAGTAGTTAATAATTTACATTATAAAAACTGATAATTATTTAATTTTCATGACTAATTTAGGGATTTTGAGTCATAAATAAGGGATTATGGGTTTAATACCTTAATTTAATGATGTATTCAAATAATTTATGTCAATAATTATGTTTATATACGGAATTTCATAATATTTATGCTACAGCAGATTTAATAATGAAATAAATTAAAAGAATTTTTGCGCTCATACATATGGTTGCACTGATTTCACTTCTCCAATCAAAAAACCGTTTTGTTATCGGGCCAAGTGAACTATCTGTTTTCATATAGTCTGTGCTATTATAATTAGACATAACATGATGTTAATAATTATTAACATAATATAATAATAAAATAATATTGCTATATTAATTTGTTCAAATATTTTAAACTTAAGAAGACAAAAAATTAGATTTTTTTTTTTTGCTGCTTCTTTCTTTATTTTTTCTTTTTCCCTTCATACATAGATAGGCCACGGATTCAGACAATTGGCAACCGATTTTTTGTTAATTTATACCCGTAGAGATAGCGCTATATATCCTCTCAAGAAATATTAAATATTTAATAATAACTGTACAGTTTGTTGATATTCAAGTAATAGCCGCGATTATTGATGTACGGCTAACACCGTTAGCGCAAATTAAGATAAGAACCAGTTGTTACCAAAAGGCGATTTCTTATTTGATTTAAATGAAACTTTTCGTTTTTAATACGAATTCGATAAAAGATTTTTATATTATTTGGTGTTTAATTTCTTAACTTACCAGTAATCAAGTCTAAGTGAAATATTTATTAATAATAACACATTTTATAAGGTTTTCATGTATAAAATTAATAATTTAATTTTTCAAATATACAATGAAGTATTAAAAAAAAAACAAATTATAAATATTTTAGAAAAAAATATTCAAACAAATAAAGCAATTTTAACCAAAGTTCAGATCACTAAAAATGATAAAATAAGAGGTTAAGATAGGTTCATCCTATAATAATATTAATTTCTTCTTAGAATCTTTAATTAATCCGCGAAGCCTATCTTATGAAATTTTGACTTCAAGTTAAATATTCTAAAAAGTTTACTATGTATTAAAGTTAAAGTTAAATATTCTAAGTGTGACAAGCACTCTTGTGAAGTGTTTATAATAGGATATAATTCATTTATGATTATACTATTTAATTTAAAACTCAATTGTGTTGTATACAACTTTTCATTTAAGAAATGATGAATTATCTGTTGAGCATTACTAACAAAATGTATTCAAATTTCTTTTGGTTTTTTCAACTTACTAGAAATTATTTGATTTTGTGTTTGAAATGTTTTATAAAAAGTTAAAATTCTTTGTCATTAAAAAGATTTGTATTCTCTTTCATAAATTTCACATGGTTTACATGGAAATTTATCTAACAATTTTTTACCGAGATACCCAACAAAATATACATTTGAGCAGGTCTTTAAAGTTAATGTAGGAACAGAAATCAATTGTTCTTGTATGGTAGGACAGGAATTAGAAAAGGAAGATATTTCAGATGTGTCTGAACTATAATCGGAATCCATAGGATTTTTAGTTGTAGTTTCGTCAGTGGAAGATAAAGGTAAATCCAAAATATTAGTGTCATCATCTAGCTCACAATTTAAGGTTTCAGATGATCTCATTAAATTGTGTTTAGCTCGAATTCTAAATGATGTCCTGAAAGTCCTAGCCGTAGAATTCTTATTAAAACCTCTCATTTGACGATAAACTGAAAAAAGTGTTTTCTAAAACATCCTGGTTTAACCTACTAGTTATTAAATAATCGTATCCTAAATTTTGCTGTTGCTGAAATAACATTATAACAGCGTTGATACTCCATAGCAAACCATCAAAACATGGAGGTTTTACTCCATACCTTTTAATAGGTTATGATAATCTAATAACACTAATAATAATGTTAGCTTGTTTTAGAAAGTTTAATTGATTGGGATTTTTACTGTATAAAGCGCAAGAAAAAGGATGATTTTTATCATAAAGATTTTTCAACTCATCCTAATTACAAAATAATTTATCCACCACTACTTTTTGTTTAAAATAATTTATAAAAATATTTAGAGGCCAACAGTTTAGTCTTGTACTGTAATACCACATTTTATGTCAAAGTCCTATTAAGGATTTTTAGTATAGTATTAAAATAAAAAATTAAATTTAAGTTCAATGAAAAAATAATTACAAAGAGTTAAAATTATAAAAAACCATCATGTCATAAAATACAATTAACGTGTATAACAATAACTTTAATTATGTGCATCATACATTCATTTAATAATTATTAAAGATTTAAAATACCATGTATATTTCAACCCATAGAAGCACTCAAAATTTGCGCTATCTATCAGCACAATCTCCTGCGTCCAGTGCATCGTTACCCTGCGACCATTCATGATAAAAATTGGACTGCCAAAATTGTGTACAGCGTGGTCTATCTATATGTATTTAATGTATGCTTCACACAATTAAAGGAATCATTTTTCCCTAGAAGTGGGAAATTTCCCTCCATGTAACATTACTGGCGAGAATTTAAAATGATTAGATTATAATCTAATATTATAATATCTTAAATAATACCTTAAAAAATCCATAGAGAATTATGAAAGCTCTTATAACCAAGCAATAATCATAAAAATTCTTTCAAATCAGAACCACTTTTTTAATACGTAAATCATTAAAAAGAATTAGATAATTAAAAAATAATAAAAATATAAAATCAAAATTGATTTTTGCTTTTATTATCTTGACATACTAAATGTCAAATAAGATAGTAGCTTGGTTGCACTGTTACAATGATATCGCAATTTATACCTCACGTTGATGATTGATAAGAAACGATGCCGAAAGATATTATTTGAAAATATTCATGTCATCGTTTACTATTGTTTAATTATTTTATATGTTGCACTTTTTTAGTAGTCTTATTTATAATTTAAATTATTTTTGATAATCATGTCGAGTGGTTACGACAGAGCTATTACAGTATTTTCACCTGATGGTCATTTACTGCAAGTAGAATATGCCCAAGAAGCAGTTCGCAAAGGATGCACGGCAATCGGTGTCTTAGGAAAGGATTGTGTCGTACTTGGTGTAGAAAAAAAATCAATTGCTATGCTTCAAGAAGAACGCACAGTTCGTAAGATATGCCCTTTAGATTCACATATTGTTATGGCTTTTGCTGGCTTAACTGCTGATGCCCGTGTAATTATTAACCGAGCACAAATGGAATGTCAATCTCAATACCTTACATTGGGCGAAACAGTCACTACGGAATATATTACTCGATTTGTTGCATCAATTAAACAAAAGTACACTCAGAGTAATGGTCGTCGTCCATTTGGTATTTCATGTTTAATTGCTGGATTTGACAATGATGGCACACCACATTTATTCCAGACAGAACCGTCTGGTATTTATTATGAATGGAAAGCTAATGCAACTGGACGCAATTCAAAATTAGTTAAAGAGTTTTTACAGGTAATATTTTGTAAAATTATTTTAATGAAAACATTGAAACCTAAATATTTCAAATGTTAACAACATTTTTTATTTATTTTATAGGATAATTATAATGATGAAGCTGTCAGCACTGAACAAGGAACAATTAAATTAGCAGTTCGGGCATTATTGGAAGTAGTTCAATCTGGCCAAAAGAATATTGAACTAGTTGTACTTAAAAATAATGAGAAAATGAGAATGCTAGATCCCGCATCACTTGAAGAAATGGTCAATGTTATTGAAGTAGAAAAAGAAGCTTTAGAAAAAGAAAAAAATAAACAAAAAGATAAACAATAAATGTAATTTGTTGTAATATTTGGTTTTTTTTTTTATATGAATATATAATTTTTTCTTTTTGGATTAAACAATATAATTTAATAATAAAATTATATTCTAAGTAATATAATTATAATCTTAAAAATCCATATTTTGTTTTTTTTTTTTTATCACTTGCTTGCAAATATTGTAGTACTATACTAAAAAATGTTGAGTCATATATTCCAATTTATTTTCAATAAAATTGATATATATATATAAATATATTTATACAAGGTGTTGTTTAATAAGGAAAAGGGTTTTGGTTGATCCCATTGTTCTAACCATTATATAAAAATCCTAGTTTGAGTGCAATCTAGGAGATAGTTGACACCTTTGGTATTGCCTATATCATCTTACCTTTACTAGAGTTCTGACCATAAATATGTACATTTATTGAAATATTTGAATTTAATATTTAACTGAGTAGCCATACACTACTTAATATACTTTACTTTATATAATATATTCAATACGCCTGATTGGAGCTGATATATTTTTTCTCAAAAAATGTATTAAGTTCCATATGACTCCGAAGTTTGCCAGATTACCAAGTAAGTCAAACAATAATAATATTAATTTTTACAAGTCAATAAATTTCGCTCAGAAGAAATTTCTTAAGTTAGAAATAATAAATCATTATCGTAATAGAAATAGATTAGAAATGGGGGCTTATCAATTACATTTAAAACTATCTAATTTTTTAAGTCAATCACAGTGGGACATCTTCGACCTGAAGATGTACCAAGTGGTTCAACATAAATTTAAACCAAAAAAGAAAAGTTAAATAAAAAATTTCAAAATTTACTTTCAGAATACAAAAATAAGGGTCAAATAGATAATTTTAATAAGAGTCCGGTAGTTTCATTTTCTAAAAACTGGGGGGACGATTTAGTTAAAAATTACACAAACATTGTTTTTTCCGCTGAAGAAACTGAAATAATTAAGTTGGGTCTTAAAACAAGTTTTTTACCAAAAAAATTTCCAATGTAAGATCTACTAGTAGGCATTGAAATGGGGGTTAAAAGTGTTGATTTTAACAATCAAGACTTAGCAAGAAGGGAGAGTTTAAATTTTCTACAAAAAAATTCTGTTATAAATAATGGGGGTTTAGGAAAAAATGAAAAACATTCACGACTCATAAATGACTTAAAAAATAAAAACTGTTTTTATTTAAAGTCAGATAAGGGGAATTCTGTTGTAATACTAAAGAAAGAAGATTATTTTGAAAGAGTATCAAGAATGATTCAAGAGGGTCCTTATAAAGAAATTAAAAAGAATCCATTATGTAAAATAATAAGGGAGGCTACAAACGTCATAAATAGTTCAAAATTAATAATCGAAGAAAAGTCAGGTTTTTTATTAAAATTTCAAACCCTCAAATACCTAAACTGTATGCTTTGCCAAAAATACATAAGCCAGGAAGTACTATGAGATCTATTGTGTCGAATATTAATGCTCCAACTTACAATTTGGCTAAACACCTAGTAAGGGTATTTTCATCTTTTAAAAAATTCGATAGCTTTTCAGTTAAAAATAATATTGACTTAGTTAAACAATTATCTGGTTATACCATTCAAAATAATAACAGGTTAATTTCTTTTGACGTAGTAGCCTTATTTCCGAATATTCCAATAAATATAATAATTGATTTTCTTATAGACTGGCTAAAGGAANATTTTCTTAAAGACTGGCTAAAGGACCAAAACATTGAACAGGATAAAATAAATGAGCTTATTAATTTAACAAAGTTATGTATGAGTCAAAATGTTTTTCAGTTTCAAAATAAATTTTATGAGCAAACTGAGGGCACAGCAATGGGAAATCCGCTATCACCATTTTTAGCAGAACTTTTCATGAGTAGGTTTGAAACAAATTTAAAATACACTTATGGTGATTTTCCAAAAATTTGGGTTAGGTATGTAGATGATATTTTTGCAGTTATAAATAAAGATTTTAATATGGGAGTTTTCATACAACAAATTCTTTTTACCCATCGATTAAATTCACATATGTACAAGAAGTAGAGGTAAAATTGCCTTTTTTGTATTTATTACTTAAAAGAACAGAGGGGGAACTAAATTTTGAAATTTATCGGAAAAACACACACACGTTCAGATACATTCCGAACACATCGAACCACACCTGGCAACACAAATTGTCAGCTTTTAATAGTATGGTTTACAGATTAATTAATATTCCGATGAATAAAATAGATTATGATAAAGAATTGGTGGTTATAAAAGAAATAGCTAAATTTAATGGGTATAACGAAAACATAATTTCAAAATTAGTCCGAAAACAAAAGTGGAAAAAAGAAAGGAGGGCAGCTAGTACACTCTCCAGCGAGGGGGAACAAAAAGTAATTAGATCACCAATTTTATTTTATCCGGGCATCTCAAATGGATTAACTAAAATATTTAAGAATTTTGGTATTACTTTGGTAACATCTAAAAGTAATAATTTAAGAGATTTATTAGGTAACCCTAAAGATAAGGTAGATGAAGGGGGGAAATCAGGCATTTATAAAATACAATGTGAAAGTTGTAATAAATGTTACGTAGGACAAACAAAAAGAAATATAGGGGTCAGGTTTAAAGAGCACTTAAGAAATATTAAAAATCAAGAAGTTGAGAAATCTCCAGTGGCTGAACATTTATTGACACATAATCACTCCATTAAAACCATAAAACTAATTAAAAACGTAAATAATTACAAAGAACTTAATATCAGAAAAGCAATAGAAATGTTTAAAAATAAAAACAATTTAATTAATTGGGATCTTGGCCCACTGAAAAATTCATTATTAAACTTGTGTAAACTAGCAAAATGTGATAATATTACTTAGTGATGACGTCACTGGGTGATAAGGTCACTAGGGGTATATAAGGGAGTTTTTTCTAGTCGGGGTGTCATTAGCGTTAATGTGTTTAGCGTTAATAATGGTAATATTGTTTCCGTAATACGTATCCGCGACTTTTCATTAATTTTTTGTGGCTTTGAGTTTAATATTTTTTAATTTTTTAAATTAATAATATTTTTAATATAGTTTTAATTTTACTTAATTTACTTTATACTTCATTATGAAACAGTGGTTAAACTTTTAATCTAGTTTTGATATAGCAAAACTGATAATTTCCAAACATCGAATCATTTAAAAATAATATCCCTTAACTAGGGGTACTTTAATGAATTACGCTTGAAATAAAATGAAGCAACCATAAAAAGTTCCAAGTTTGCTACTAAGATGGTTTAATTAATTTAGGAAGTAAATAAATACTGTAAGTTTTCAAGCAATAAATTTGTTTAATTTATTTGGCTATATTTTATTTTTTTAAATTTACAATTAACATATTATAGTTATATACATATATATATATAACTACATATATATATACGAGTATTTCCTTTTTATTCGGCTTTCACAACACGTTTAAATTCAGACACTTTTTTTGTGTGGGTATTAAATGATAAAGTTTAACTTAGATTATATCTGTTTAGATTATATGTTTGTTTTGAAGTTTTACGAATAACTTAAAAAATATTTTTTGAACAATAATATTATCTTTAAAACTAAACTTTTTTAAACAATTATATTAAATAAATAACGAATAAACTAGTTTAAACAAAACAAAAACTTCACATTCTTATATAATTCGTCAAATTCAGTATTGATGCATTTAAGAGTAATATAACATTTAAATAATTAATGAAGACATACACTAAGCTAAATCGAAAAAAACGTTATGCAATAGGTAATTTAGAAGATAAAAAAAATTAATAAAAGTTCTTTTAGTCAAAAACATGCAAGTTCATTCGAATATCGCGCAATATACATAAAATCCTGTGATTTATAAAAAAATTGATAATTGTACACTAGTCAAAAAAAAAAAAAGATGCATAAAATTTAACAATTGTATGAGATTGTCTGAATTCCTTATATAATTTATTTGTGTACAAGGATGATAGTAACATGTGTGTTGTTTATCTTCCATGACTTAACTATACTTATTATTTTTATACAATACTTTAAAAAAATCTTACCAAGGGTAGTAACATTAGTATAATTTTATTAAAATTCAGTAACAAAATTGTACGTACATCAAAATTTGCGACACACCCTACACAAAAACAATTAACTTTTTTCTTAAAACAATAATTTAAACTAAAATCTAGTACACAACTAACGTGAGCCATATGCCGTTAGTGCATACTATATTATTATAACAATTAATGATTAGAGTAGTTATTTCATGTTTAATTTAATTTATTTAGTTACATAACATTGATTTGCTAAAAAAAATTGCAAATACGGTTTATATCGCGAAAATTAGTCTTATTTTAACTCATATTAAACTGTTATAGAAATATTTTGTGAGGAAGATTGCGTGATCAGTACATTTGGGTAGTAAAAAATTTGATAATTAATGATCTTTTTATATCTAAAAGGTGTTGTAAATAAAACTTGAAGTTATATACTAGATTAAGAGTTTAAATATAAGGACTGGTAGAAGTTAATTACATTTCAAGATAATTTCCAAAAAAATCTTGACATTGACTAGCCAGTAAATAAGTATTCTTTTTAATTATTAATCAATTTTTACTACCATAATTGCACGTAACCTTCAGTCACAAATGTAAAAATTATGTATATGTAGCTGTTGCGCTCAGATGATGTACTATTAATGAAATTATCATCGATAACTTTAAAAAAATGAATAATATTAAGATATTAAAATCAACATAAAACACGTGCATAAGATACTATGGGTATTATATGTTGGTAAAATATTTTAGAATAAAATATCTGTAGAAGAAGTATACAAATAATTTAAAACATAAAAACAAAAAATTAATAAGTATAACACTCAAAGTAATACTTAGATAGAATACATAAACATTTTTTTATTAAATTGCAATGAACATGTCTCGGACGTCTCACACATAAAAAATAATTAAGATAAGAGAAAAATATTTGAGCGAAGATATTATAACTATCTAAATAAAAGAAAATCCAACAATGTAATATCTAGTAATAATGCATTTGTATACATTCATTTTATTATAATGCATAACATTATAATATTTTTAAAGACATAAGCTTTGAATATGGTTTGAAAATAAAAATATTAAAATATAAGATATTTATATTTTATTTGAGCAAAAATTATACTTTATTTTACTTTTATGTACACAGGGTGATTTAGTTAAAATGTTTAGACTATTATTATGAAAACAATTGTAAAAATAGAATGTTAACATTATGTGACTACCAAATTAATTTTTCTAATTATTAATTATCTATAAGAAGTTCTAAATGTGAAATTACTTAATATATTGTAAATAAATAAGCACGATCTTATCTAAAATTATATGTTAAAATAAATGTTTAATAATATTAAGAATTAATAAAAATAAAAAAACAGAAGTTTACTATTTTGTATATACTAATTAGTTTTATATTTTAGTCCTAAGTAAAGAAATGTTTAAGTTTCACATGAACAAAAACCACCCTTTTGTACATTAGGTTCAAAATTAATGAGAGAGCATTAATAAATGTTTTTCGTGAGTATTAATTGCTAATAACTTCGTGTTATGTTATTATACTATGTATAAGTATAATAATGATTTTTACTTTTAGGCGTTCGAGACATTGTTTAACAAATAGGCTTTTTCCACTTGTTATGCTAATCTAAAAATATTAATAAATATTATTTATTCTTATAATTTTACTTCAATAAATTTATATTACACAATAATAATAAATAACATTCTTTTCTTTTTTGGCACTTAGCTAACTAACTTATACTTCTTATTAATAATAACAATATAATGAATACAGTAAGTTATTTGTATATGTATAAATATATAATAGTAAAATTGTTTTTTTTTTTTAAATAATTGTTAACATTTATTAGTTATTATTAATATTATCATATATAATTAACTCGACTGAAGCAAATTAGTTCTAACTTGAGCATTTTCATCTATAAATCATGTTATTTTTAAATATTACTTTCCACTGTAGATCTGGATAATTTTGTCTTGATCGACAGTTTCGAATATGTGAGGTGCGTCCATTAGTATACCAAGAGTTCCGGCGGTGGTTACAAAAAAAAACAGGTACAGTTGCAAACGATCAATAACCATAGCAACGTATTTCCAGTCTTCTCTTATCTGCATTTAAAAAAAGGAAGACTAAGAAACTTTTAAAAATAGAATAATTTTTTATGTGCATTACATGCTGAAAACTATGTAAAAATCTCAAAACCGGATATAAATAATAAATAGCAAATTTTTACATACATGATCAAGTTAAAAAAATGTATTTTATTTTCCCCAGATTATCAGGCCGAGTCCGCCCTTCAATCACGATCATAGTTAAATTGCATTACCTGTATGTACTGATCTTCATTTCTTAAATGTTCTGCAATGAATTCTACCGCTTCACTAGCTTTAGACGCTTCTGGAGACAATAATAATGTATCTGAGCTTTCACTCTCCCGCCGTTCTGCACTTGCTTTCCGGTTGATCTTGCAATTGGGATGATGCAAATCAGCCAGCTCCATCACCTCCATATTATGTTTGGACGGAGTCGCGGAACATGGAGGTACAGGTGCGGGTAAATCTGAGGGAGATGTGTGGTGTGGATGTGGCGGTCCACTCATGCCAGGCATTTCCATCATCCACCTTAGCCGTGTTTTTTTAGGTCGCTTCATTAACATACACGCAGGTAGATAGTAAAGAAACACAGATCGTATCCAAGGTGGCATTCTATGAGTTCGAGGACCTAAGGAAAAAAATATCGAGTGCTGTATTTTTATGTATTAATATATTAATCATTGAAGACTGCTAGTAATACAATTTAAAAATTTATTTTTATAATTTATAAAGTCAATTAAATAAAATTTGTACTGGCTGATGGTATGTTCGTAAAAACTTAACGAAATTAGAAAATGTTTATAACTCCGCGCCTTACTTGTAAATATAACAAGAAATAATTTTTTCTATTAAATGCTAACATTTTTGAATATTTTAAAACTCTTTCTAGAAAAGTTAATGAAGTTGTCTCAAGTCTCTTTTCACTCGAAATTAATATATTATATATATATGTATACATGTTATTATATATAGAGTATTCAGTAAGTAAGGAAACGGTTGTAGTAAAATAAAAATAATTGACAATTTTTTGCTTTAACTGGAGATAATTTATAATTGACTGATTCGTTTCTTGTTTTTATTACACACTTTAAAAGCTTTGATATGTATAAGGTGTTTACATTTTTAAAAAGTGCATTTTTTCTTGAATTATAAATATGACTTAGTGTACAATTTTTTCAGCCCTAATAATGTAGTTAATCCGTAAACTTAAATGTTCGACGTATATGTTAAACGGTACAATTATTGAATTGATTTGACAGCTATAGTATAGACATTTTATTCTGTGGGAGAAGTGTATGTTTCACTTGCATTAAGGAAGAAGAAATGTTGGAATAATTTACAATTTAAAACCAACGGGAAATAGGCTGATACGGAATCAACAAATTAAACAGCTTACTTTTATAATTATGTCAGAAAATAAGAGCATATCTTAATACAACGCAAATCTATAAAAACGCAGTTTTTTTTTTATATTAAAATATAATTGAGAACTGATTCAGTTTAAGATTACTTAAAATCATTTAGTAAGTAACAATAAAAATAAAAAAATAAACTATATTCATACCTCTAAAATTCCAATTAATTATGATAACAGTAACCAATATACTGACAGTATTCATTATAAATGTAAAGAGCAGATATTTGGCTATGAGCGGTAACACAATTGAGGTAGGTGGCAGTATTTTAGAGACAAGCAGTAGGAAGACGACAAGTGACAGTAATATGCTGATGCCCAGCGTAACTTTTTCTCCTGCTTCAGCTGGCAAATAAAATACCAACACACACAGGAACGATATGAGGACCGTAGGCAGTATTAAATTTACTGTGTAGAATAGAGTTTTTCTCCTGATTACAATGTAAAACGTTATATCAGTTTGAGTCGGCTTCTCTTCGTATACATTAAGATACGCAGGTACCTAGAAACATCAAATTCTATGTTATTGACTAGTTGAATGAATGATGATTTTAGAAAATAAACAAGTACTTAAAAACTCGATAGAATACACATCTAAATCTTCTTTTTCCTCATCTTAATCCCAACTACTTGGGGTTGGCCATCCTTATCTTAAATTTCTACTTGACACAATTCGCCACATCATCGTTCATATCAGCTGTCCTTATATCGCATTCAATAACATCCCTCCATCTCTTTTTTTGTTTTCTCTCTACTTCATCTTCTTCAACATTAATTTACATAATTGTTCTTATAGCTTACAATTCCACTTCTCTCATAAAATTACCAAACCATCTAAGTCTATTTTCTTTTATCTTATCCATGACTGACGCTACACCTATATTTCCTTTTATAGGTTCGTTACTTATCCTATTTTCTCTAGTCACTCCACTCATCCATTTAAGCATTCTCATCTTTGCTACACTGATTCTCTACTCTAGTTTCTTATTAACCGCCAAACTCTGAACCATACATTATAACTGGTCTCACTACAGTCTTATAGAACTTACCTTTCAGCCTCATTAAAATTCTCTTAAATTGCAATTTTTCATAGCTTTATCTTCTTCTTCTTCCTCGCCTGAATCCCAACTACTTGGGGTCAGCCACCCTTATCCTAAACTTCCACTTGACACGATCTCCTACATCATCTACGCTCACGTCAGCTGTCCTCATATTGCATTTAATAGCATCCCTCCGTCTCTTTTTTGGTCTTCCTCTGCCTCTTCTTTCTTCAACATTCATTTCTATAACTGTTCTTATAGCTTCGGATTCGTCTCTCCTCATAACATGACCAAACCATCTAAGTCTATTTTCTCTCATCTTATCCACGATTTATGCTTCACCTGTACTCCCTCTTATATGCTCGTTCCTTATTCTATCTTTTCTAGTTACTCCACTCATCTATCTAAGCATTCTCATATCTGCTACACTCATTCTCTGCTCTACTTTCTTATCAACCGCCCAACACTCTGAACCATACATTATAGCTGGCCTCACTACAGTCTTGTAGAATTTATCTTTTAGACTCATTGAAATTCATTTATCGCATAAGACGCTAGATACTTCTTTCCACTTCAACCACCCGCACTTAATTCTGTGTCTTACATCCTCGTCAATACCACCACTCTTTTGCATAACTGACCCTAAATACTTAAAACTCTCCACCTCTCCAATCACGTTCTCGCCTATTGTAACTGACCTCATTACACCTACCTCGTGTTCTCCTTTGTCAAATTCGTAATCTGTCTTACTTATTCAAGAGCTGATCTCTACACCTCTAGCCTTTAATTAATTTCTTCCCTATTTTCTTCTATTAACACTATTTCGTCAGCAAACAACATGCACCACGGCATCTCTCCTTGTATTTTTCTAGTAATTTCATCCATCACTATAGAGAATAAGTAAGGGCTTAAATCAGAACCTTGGTGCACTCCTACTCTTACCCGAAAACTTTCTGATACCCCTCCTACGTTTTTTACCCTGGTACAATTGCCATCATTTATTATATTAATGTACCTTTTCGGAACTCCTTTTCTCATTAATATCCACTTTAAAAATTCTCTTGGTGCTCTATCACACACTTTTTACAAATCTATAAATACTATAAATAGCTTTTTCTTCTTTTCCCTAAACTTTTCTACTTGTTGCCTCACACAAAAAAATGGCCCCATTGTTGACTTACCAGACATAAATCCAAACTGGTTTTTAGTTACCGATGTATTATTTCTTTTTCTCTTATCTATTACCTTTTCCCAAATTTTCATTCTATGACTCATAAGCTCATTGAAATTCTCTTATCGCATAACACACCAGACGCTTTTTTCCACTTCACCCACACGCACTTTACCTTGGGTCTTACATCTTCGTTAATACCACCACTTTTTTGCATAACTGATCCTATATACTTAAAACTTTCCACCTCTCCAATCACATACTCGCCTATTGTCACTGATCTCCTCATTTCACCTACCTCGTGTTTTCCTTTGTCAAACTCGTACTCTATATACTCTGTCTTACTTCTACTTATTCTTATACCCTTTTCTTCAAGAACTGATCTCCACACCTCTAGCCTTTGATTAATTTCCTCCCTATTTTCTTCTATTAACACTATATCGTGAGCAAACAACATGCACCACGGCACCTCTCCTAGTATTTCTATAGTAATCTGTTCTTTTACCAATTAATGTTCCAACATTCCACGTACCTATTCTTACTTTGTATCTATCTTTCTTCCTTATATACGGTTCCAGCCTAAAATCCCTACTCCGTTAACATTATAAGCGTTAGGTAGACCTGTACACATGACTCACTGAATCAGCTACCGCACAAATTGTCCAGCTGGTATCAAACATTTTATCCCAGGCTTTCTCCGTTTCTATCTACTTTATTTTTCTCACCAGTTGTCCCTGCGTATATCTGAAATGGGACAATCCACCTAAGTTTTTTTCAGGACTCCTCATACTTTTTGACAAAATTTTAGATCGGCTCTCGATCTAACGCAATCTCATTAGTTGGCTCTTACAACTTGCAGAGGGGCCGTAGAAATATTTTTATCTCCTATCCTCGGAGACTATCAAGATTACATCTGAATAAATCTATTAAAATTATATTTGAATAAAAAAAGAATTGAATATACATTACTCGCCCATGACAACAAAAAAATTATCTAAATAAAATTAATTAAATTTAAATAATATTTTAAGTATTTCACCAAAATAATCAGTAAATACTTTTATGAAATTTTTTATTTTATAATTACCTCTATAATATCCCATGTTCCGGATTTCCAATAATCAGATAGATCTACAAAATGTTTATCGTTATAAAGCTCTAATGATACTTGATCACCATTAAATGTCCAAGAACCAAATTTCATTATACAAGTCTGTTGATCAAATGGAAAGTATGTAACGTCTATAGTGCATGAGCTCTGTAAAATAATTATAACTCTTAAATAATAGTACTCATCACAGTGGAGTCACGACACAAAGGGGACTCGGCAAAATTAGGACGTATAAATAAAATCTAATAGTGATTAATATTAATATCATAAAAAAACATTTCGATACAAATCTGTTAAAATTCATAATTTGTATAATTTAAAATTTTACTCAAATATTAAATATTTGCTAAATTGTTTGCTTAATTGAGATTAAGTTATTTTTTATGTTTGAAGACCAATTTTATATAGTAAAACATTTCTCGGGAAAATTTTTTTTCAATATTATAGTACACTTCAAATGCTTTAATTTATCTTAGGTTTAAAGAACACAAATGCCTTGGAATATTAAAAAAAAACGAAATTAATTTTTTTTTTTATACATACGTAAGTAGGTTTTTTTACTTATATTTTCCATTGTATTTTTGGATGTAAGGTTCAACTATATTAAAATCAGGTTCTTTTGACATATTAATCATTAAAATCGGTTAAAATTTATGAAAGCTAAGAATTTTTATGGATTAACATAAAAAAACATAAAACTTCACAAAATTAATAACTTCTCAGCTTAAAAAACGCAGTATTTACAAAATATTTTCGAAAGTAAAGTCGAAAAAGTTGACTTTTGTAGAAAAATTGCTATTTTGAATTCTCCCTAAAAATAGGTAAAGGGTCAAAATTTCAAATAAATGATATTATAATTAGAGCAATACCTAAGGTTTCTATATATAAAAAATTATTTTGATTTGTTAATTTTTTAAAAAATTATGGGAGTTTAAAAAGAAAAGAAACTCAGCACAGTGGTGAGGTGGCATAGTTGGATCAAGTATGATGATATCTGACAGTGATTAAAATCACTATAAAACAAAAACGCTTCCATGCAAATCTTTAGATAGTATTTAAATTTAAAAAATTGGTGGATTATTCCAAAAGCTACATGATCTGCTAGTTCCTTATTAATATCCTGATTAAGATAAAGTATGTCGAATGAAAGAGAGATTATTCAAAAATATTATTTCTCATAAAAAAATTGTGTTGATCCATACACTTTACAATAAGTTATAGCATTATACAGTTAGAAATGTAAAAAATAAAATCCAGAATTTTCACACAAAAATAGCATTCGGTAGCCATTTTCACCTTGAAGACAAAATAAAGTCTGACATTTTTTTTTCCCATAATAAAGTACATTACATTATCTTTAATTTAAGATATATATAAAAGTGTTAGACTTTCCGGAACACTTTCAAAAGTGAAGTGTAAAAGTAAATTTTTTGTAAAAAAGTTGTCATTTTAAATCCTCCCTTGTGGGCAGATAAAGGGTTAAATTTATGAAAATAATATACTAAATAATAGGTAAAGACATCAAGCATCTATAAAAAAAAATTATATTGATTTGTTCATTTTTGAAAAAGTTATGCCAATTTTAAGTAAAAAAAATTGAAAAAATTTCGAAAATAGCGATTTTTAAATTTGTAATTTTTTTGGAGGTATCCCCCATTTACGGGGAACGAGGGAAATTTTTTCAATTTTTAAGGGTAATGTCTTCGACTAGATACGATTTGTTATCTTTTGACGTATCGTTGAAAGAAATTCGTTCGGTGAGAGTTCAGTAAAAGTGGTAACAGACACAAAAAAAAAAAACACATCATTGTAAAATTAATACCTTTTCAGCTTCGCATCGAAGCTAAAAAATGTTAAAATTAATCAATTTTAAAAATTGTAATTTTTTAAGGGTCGAGGGAAATTTTTTCAATTTTTTAGGGTAATGTCATCAACTAGATAAGATTGTGATATTTTGACGTAAACAAAAATGATAAATTAAGTTAATAAACTGTAAAATTTAAATATATTATCATAAATCCAAAAATGGTCCTTATAGTCATGCACCCATAAAGATAAAGATATATCTATTTTTCAGGAATAATATTTTTATTAATAGATTATTTTCTAGAGATATTTTTCTTTATATAATATTCGCATGGGTATAAAGAAAGTTTGGAGTGAAAAAATTTTTTTTCTGGCATTTAAATCATTTAATATTAAATCAATTTAAGTAATATTATATGTCGAAGTAATATTCACCATAAGTTGCAAGTAATTTTAACCTTAATACAATTTTATACTATTTTACTATATTAAAAAAACTCTTTAATTTTAATGGTTAGCTTGTCTGATTTAAAATCTATCTTTTGATTTAATTTCAGTCTTTAACTTTAACTAAAGTTTTAAGATCTGAATTTTAATTTAAAAATAAATTTACCTGGTAAATGGCTGGAGGCACCCATAGCATTTGTCCATCAGGGTGAATTAATACATTTGATTTATAACGAACCTCATAGTTACCATCAGCACTAGAAAAATAAAATGTTATAATGAAACAAATTTAATTCAATTATAACTCAACTATTTTTTCTCTTAAACAAAAATGATATTACCCAGAGATAATACTAAAGATAATTTTTAGAGAAGTATGAAATGAATTTTGCTAACTGTTGGCAATAAATTTGCCAGCCATAATAAGTAACAAATTCCACGATTTATTCTTAAAAATTTCAACCATTAATGATTTTAATGAACGTTTGGAAGGATGTGATATCCTTCAAAACCTATGTATGAAAACTTAAACGTGCCATAAGTTCTTACGGTAACTTACAAAGTATACTGACTGGATTCATTAAATCTCACATGTATATGATTGAGCTTTATGTATAATTAGGGTAAAATTTTTATTTAAACTCGCCCATCAAAAAAATGTTTGGTTACATGTCTGATGATAGTTATTAGACACAGATTAAATATCTCAAAAACATTAAAAATGTCAATATAAACTACTATACAAGTAGTATATGAGTAAAATGTTTCAAAATAATTATAGTTAATAAAATCAAGACAAAATAATAAAATTGCAATGTAAAAATTACTTGTATAAAATAATTCGAAATATATGAGAAAAAATGATATACTATATAAAAATAGAAAGGTTTTATTAAAATAAATTTTCAGTGTTTAGTTTTTTTATTTAATAATAAATTATTTCAGACACATTTTTATAAACAATTTGAGTATAATTTTTGTACCTATAAGTGAACTTATATATTTGTTAACTATTCCAAGTAATTCTTACTTGTTGAATAACACAATATCAGGCTTCCATACTTTATCGGGTGGTAATCTAAGTACTTGTATACCGCCATAGTCTGCTTCATCCCACTGTAATTGATAGTCTACCCATGTCTAAAATAAAAAACAGCTAAATCACAAAAGAGCTTTAATACTAATTTCCTTAATTCTATCTTGATCATTAGTTTTATGATTTATAAGTATAATATTCGAATAAATAAATATTGTAGAAATTAAATCTAATATGAAATTGACATACAATATTTCATATAGGAATTTTCACAAAGAAGTCATAAGAAATTATAACTTGTATGTTTCGTTACCTCTATGGCAATGGCTTATCAAAATTTAAGTATAGATTTATAGATAAAGAAAAAAAAAGAAAGTAAAATTTTTAAATTTAATTATTCTGACTTTTGTTAATTAATTATTATTATTAATTATAATAAAAATAATAATTCCACCGTTCCCTTCTTCCTTTTGGATATTCTATTTATAGAATAAATTATATTTATAAATATGATTTTTATTGAGTTACTCAATTGCAGATATGCCACCCTAATACCAAATTTATTTATAACTAAATAAAAATATACTTACCAATCTTAACCAAACGTTGGATTTCATAATTTGACTCTTCTCGTTCTAAAACAATTAACATTAAAATTAAGCGTAATTTATTTATAATAATAATAAATTATGACTACAATTCATTTTTAAAAAGGAAAGAAATGTATATATGGAAAATAGGAACCTTGTGCTAGGAAATTTTAGGGCTGTTTCAGACGGTTGACTGATAATATAAGTATATTAATGTATTAAAATTATTAATTTGTGTCAAGAAAAAACATTTTTAAAGAGCTTGGGAAGCAATCGTTATATTAGCTGCCCTGTTTGAATTTTATACATATATTAATAATATAGGATATTTTCTTAATTATATTATTTTTATAATTAATTAAAAAACTAAAAGTATTTGATTTGTAATTGATCTCAATATGATATTATTGTTATTAAATCAATGGAACATTTATTTATTAGTTGTCAAAATATTTACTTACCACATTGATGAGCTGTACGAATGCTAAGCCAAACTGTACATTTACTTTGTCAGTTATGTTTTGAACTGGCCTAATTAATTTGTTGTAGCCTCTGAAGAGATCTCTAACTAAACGCTCTTCGTCTTCTGAACACCAGCAACCTAAAAAATAATATTAAATTTAAATAATGCGTGGTCAAACTTTTTTAATTGCGTCTGGCATATTATTAAGATTATATTTGAAAACTTGATATAATCCCTTCAAGTAATGGGAGTAATAGTAGTAATAAGCTGAATAACAGGAAACAATTTTTGGTGACATAAATAACAAGTAGAGGATGAAGTGGATTAATTACCGTTACCAAAAACAGGATATAGCTAAAGGATTAAAATATCCTTAGAAGAAGTGAAGAGCCAACTATTTTATAAAAGGCAAACATTTAATATGCATTTTCAAACCGTATATTGTGTCAGTGAATTCAAGTAAACAAACTGTGATAATTAATGGTTAAATAAAAAAATCTAGAATTTATTATGATAAATTACACATTAAAAGTTTAAACATTTATGCTCGCATATTATAGGTGTTTCCATCATATATCATTTACTATAATCAATACTATTCCTAAAAAACTAATGTATTAATATTTTAAAGAGTAATATAAAAATCGTTTTTTTATGGTTACAAAATTCAAAAAAAAAATTAAAGGTTTATTCAGCATGGATTTTAAAAAGGGCCCAGGGTTCCGAGTTTCCATACATAAGTGGATGACTTTTTTTTTCTCATAACATAAAAAAAAAATTTTATATTAAGTAAATAGTATATATTTTTAATGTCATTTCGCACTCAATGATCAACGAAGAGACGTAATATCATACCATGTAACATATTTGTGTATCATAGTTTATTTACATATAATATTCAGTAGTACGATATGGTGTTATATTATCTACTCCAGTGGATTTTTGAGGAACGGATGCGTTCAACCCTAATGTCTTTTTCATAACGCCGAGATAATGTATATTTAAGATGCCCGCTACCAACAATCTTGATTATTCTTAATGTTTATAGTGTGAGGTATTTTCCAGGCTTATCTTTTATCTGCTAGTTTCTAATGTCATTAATATTTTATATTAAGTTTTTGTTTAAATAATGACGATAATAACATTTATAATTTGATTAACAAAACAAAATAAAAAAAATTGTTTATATTTTATTAAAATCCAGTTTGATCACGTAAAAAGAAATTAATAAGAAAAAAATGGCCAATTTCATTTGTTTTCATTTCATCATTGGGGAGGGGATCTAAATTAAGCATTTGCCCATTTTAAATTTTCATTGCAAATCAGGGCTGTTAAGTTATGCTAGGCGAAATCATACCGGGACATTTAAATGTAATCTATGAGACATAATAAAAATCCAAGTTTTAGTTATAAAAATAAAATTTTATTCGATAAGAAATTATTTTTACCTCAATAATATAGTAACTCAAAATGTAATATATAGTTAAGTTTCTATAACTATTATGATTAAAATGATATAATAAAATTTGTTACTGATTATTGTGATGGTGTCACGTTTTCATAATCGTGAGAATTATTTTAATAAAATACAGACAGCACATCCGCTGCCTGAGACTGGTGAATTAACAAATAATATTTATTGCCAAATCGGCAATAGGTGTAATTATTATAAAAACCCAATAGACCTGACCATCGTGGTCAGTCGACTCCAGTGCCTTGTGTCATTCATCAGTCTCAGTACTCGGTTGTCGCTGTCCGGCTTACTGTTTAAAGTAAAGTCTTTGTTTATTCCTTTTCTAACCTATATACTCTTTTCCTCGACATTTCAGAGTACTTGTGTCTTGCACTTCGTCTGCACCTCGTACTCTGTTATCTTTCCTCACCTGGTACGCCTAGTATTTGTGTCTTGCACTTCGTCTGCACCTCATACCTAGGTGTTACTCTTATTCTCCCTTCCCATAACAACAGCCTTTCGACACCCACAGCTAACCCGGAGTGTCAGCCGAGCACGGTGACTGCTGTACGACAACACGCACGTGAATACCTACACAGCAGGCACCACCTCCTCATATTCATCTTCGTACACACACTTACACTTTCACTCATTTACCTTAATTTTTTTTACTGTGTTACGACATTAGTCTTGTATGAGCATGAGAATGATTGAATTACTATGTATTTATTGAATAAAATGACATAATATAATTTTCTGTCGGGATATGAGTACGAGGGTTTTATGAGAAGATGTAAAATGTAGGAAATCAAAATACTGTGTGATCATTTATTAATGTAAATTTTCTGTGAAATATTAGTTTACCTTAATGATGTTGGGAACAAGGTTGAAAATAAATATACTTCGATTTTTTTATGAAATTATAATACTTGTAAAGCCACTTCTTGCACATGTTGAAAGATCATGAAGTCAAGAAGTAATGAGTCGAATTGACAGTTTTTGTGCCCTTTTATATTAAATATAAACAGATATCACTGTGTTAAAAGTAAAATATCAAACGTATTAAAAGTTTTATTTATTAAAAGTTAATATCAAACTATAAATACAGAGGACTCATGTGTATTTAAACTATGTTAAACGTTTTTATGATTTTATATATGCAATAACTTGAATGTAAAGTGTTATTTTTTTAACGGTTAAAACAATATGTTAGAAACCTATAAACTAGAAAAATGTTAAAAATACATTTTATATATGTTAAAATTGTAAAAAAAAAAGAAAAATCTAAAAGACATTCATTGAAAATATTTCTTTTATACATAATTAGATTAATGGTTTAATTATAGGAGATAAATCGTGAAGGAAGCGAGTGACTTTGTAAAATGATAGGCTAGTCAAAAGTTTGTATCATATAATATAAAATGACGCACCATTTTGTTTTTTTAATTAATATTCATTATGAGTTCATATAACATTGAAGAAATAGAAGTCAATAAGAAAAATTTACTTATTGGTGGCTAAGTGCAAAAAAGAGTTGAGTATAATTTTTCAATTTTGTTCAATTTGCTTAAACGATAAGAATATTTTTTTAATAATAATATGGTTAAAAGTTATTTGTATGCTTTATACATATAATATATATATTATATAATATCCTTCATTTTTCTGTACATTTTTATCAAATTCTTATGTTAAAATTAACAATAATAAAATTAAACATAAAATTGTTTCATTTGTTTGATAGAAAAATGTTCTTATACCTTATATTCAAATTGTAGTTTTCTATGAGAACTACTATAAACATGACCGATCCCAATAAAGTGCATAAGGAATTACCCACCCTATTTAAAAAATATTTCATAATTTTCATCGAAAATATTACATATATCCTACAAAAATAAATAGTCAGCCGATGTCAAGCATGTAGCCAGAAATTTTTATGGTAATGGTGGATTAAAATAGAATTTCACATTTTCCATGCAGTATTGTTGAGTTTAGCCTTGTAACAGTAATATTATTTTTAACATTTTTTGAGAAATGACTAGACCTTGTGAACCCTTACACATTTTAAGTTGAAAAAAAGCCCCGTATATACGTACGAAATAAAGTAGTTAATATTCCTCAGGACGAATTTATTATTGTCAATTTAATTTAAGTACCTTTTCAATTATCGTTCTAATTCAAATATTGCTCTTATTTTAGTTACAATAAAAAACTTAAAAAGTAATAAAACTTTAAATAGCTTCAATCTTTTAATATTACGTTAGTAAAAAGAATCGCTCCGTTATAATTATTTATTTCTCTAAAAATCTTAATGCATACAAAAAAACAGAATAATGCTACTTTAAAAAATACTTTAATTTTAAGAGCCACATTAATATATTTTTTATTTAATAAATTTTTGTACGTAATACTTTTGCATTAAATTTTATGTGTGTCCTTATGTATCATCTCCATAGTGATACCCAATAACACGTTATAATATACTATATTATAGTCTTAAGATAATTATTATTATTTTTTTTTTTTTAAGCCAGTAATATTACACAAAATAAGAAGAGAAGAGAATATGAGCACCATGGGGACACGCTAAGGACGACGTGGTGAACTTGGTATTGATTTCAACAGTCCCGCACGCGCTCGAGTAGAGACGCTCTGGCACGACTGTCGCAGGAGTCCAGCTCGTAGTATTTTAAAACACTTATTCCAATCCCAATAGACATTATTTAATCATACTTATTTTAACCACATTAATGTTAAATTTATAATGTTAAGAGCACATAATAACAACTTAATTGGTACAAATAACTACTTTAATGCAATTAGAGGACCACTCGCAAACACGGTACGAGGCAATTAAGTGCGCATTTACAAATGGAAAAACGGGTGATTTGCATGTTAAAATTTCATTCGAAAAATAATTTTATTTAAAATGTTATTATTTCAGAAATATTTTATAGGATAAAATATATAAAACTAAATACTAAATATTATAAATTATATTATATATAATATAAAAAAAAACATTTAAAAATATTATAACAATTACCAGTAGTATTACAGTTTGTATTACTTTAAAAATACAATTTCGGTAAAATTATTACATTGCCATCAACTTGTTGTTAAAAGAGTAAACATGATCATTCAAAGAAAAGATGAACTTTTATTTTATTTTAAATATTGATTATACATTAGACTATCTAAAATCTAAAACTCAATGTTAATTTTTTTCAAAAATGATTATTTAAATTTTTTTTGGGGGGGTCATTTAAGCTTTTTACAGCTTCTATTAATCGGTAACAGTCTTGATGTTTGCTGTTCCATCTATCATTTTTATATCTGTATTTATATCTGTAGTTATTCTATCTAACCAATTTGTCGAGGTCTTCCTATGAGGTGTTTGGCTGTTGGTTTATTAATCAGTACCTTTTGAATTATGCTGCTTTCAAATCATTTGTAGCGATACAACCATTCTAGGCGTTTAACTTTCAGGAATCATTTAATACTTTGTTTGTAAAAATTCCAAGTTAGTATTTGTCTCCTTTTGTAGTCTTCAATTAATTTGTTTCTTACAGGTCCGTATATTTTCCTCGGCACCTTTTTCTCAAAGATAAAGAACTTTTCCTCATCTTCTTCGGTTATCGACCATAACCCGCTTTTACTTTAAACTGAGGGGGGAGTTACT